TCCTGTTTATAACTAATAAAACAAATCCCACGCTTGAAGATTTAATTTCTCGAAATTTCATGAAAATATGTAAGTGGGTGGAAACATGTTAAAAAAAAAAATCTCTTTTTAACAAGATTTTCTAAAAAATTCATTCATTTGTGAATAAGTCCTGAAAGTTTCATTAAAATCCGACAATTATTTGATTTTTGCAAGAATTTTTAAACTTAGGTATCAAATTTATGCTAAAAGTGGAGAAACCTAATCTATGATGAAAGGAATTTCGCTTAAAGGCATTATTCAGCCCTGCTTGATTGGCAAGGCTTTGTGTCTGAGTTGGATAAAGCATGTTGGATCTAATGATGGTTCCCTCTGCTTTGTTGGAGAGTGCATATTTTTCTATAGTAAGATTTCTCAAGTTTTTAGGCTGGTAGATGAAAATAAACATTAATAAGTGGAGCATCTACTCAAGTGGTTCCCAAACAGTGTGCAATACACCTCATAGGTGCAGCGGAATGATTGAAAGATGATGATTCAGAAACAGTATCAAAGGATTCATATCATAAAAATAAATGTGATTTCCAAATTTATAACATTATTATGGACTAGTTGTAATTGCATGTATGAGTTCCAGTATAAATAGTTATAAATAATTATTGACCGATATTATCATTGTGATATTTTTGCATTATATCCTGCATTAAGAATATAGTAACTAGGGTCTGTAAATTGGAGAGAGTTATCAATGATAATGTTCTGACTTTAAATCTGAAGTTATCTCTTTTTTTTTTTTTTTTTTTTATTTTTAAATGTATTTTTATCACATAAAATTTGGTACGGCATGAGCAAATTTTCATTTCAAAAATGCGTCCCAGAGAAAAGTTTGGTAACCACTGGTTTACTCAAATATGGGTATCTACTAAAAATAATGTTTTAAGTGATAAAATCTGTTGGATTAATAAATAAATTAAAAAAAAATCCATTACTTCTTCAGACAAAGGAGAATCTGCATGACTAATTTTTTTCCTAATGAATTCTATGTTTACTAATAAATGGAAACTGAATGGACGAACAGAAAATTTGTATAATTTTGTATTTTTCTGAGTTTATTTTTGTGTAAGATGTCCTCAAATTATTGGTACCAAATAGTAAGTATAATACTAATAAGGTTTTGATCTTTTGAGATTTCAGACTTTGTCTTTATCTTATGGGTACAGAAGATATTTTTGTCTTCAAATGAGAAATTAGTCTGGCAGTGGATAAAATAATAATAATAAAAAACTCTTGTGTTTTTGATGAGTTGAGAAGAAATTGTCTTTTCATTTAAAATATTGCATGAGAAATAATTCATATCAAGTAAGTGGCCAGTTGCACTACAGGCAATAGTGGTTTTAATCAAGTTGAATTTAACATCTTCACACAAATGCACTAAATTTAAGAAAAAAAAAAAATTAAAATATGACTTGTATGACCCTTAACAATATCAACTCAGCACACTCAAGCTGCAGGTTATTAATTTCTTCTTTGACCAGAAATAACTTTTTTTTAACAAATCCTCCAAGTATGTTGTCTGCCATTTAAGGAAACTGCTTTGTTTGTATTAAATTTCATTACCAGACAATTTTAATTTTGATCTTTTCAGCATGAATTTTTAATTACTCAGAAAATCTGATCTTCCTGGCATATTGACTTTTTTTTTTACTGATATGATTCAATTATTTTGTTAGCAATATATTTTCAGTATCACAGCCATTTTTACTCTTAAAATATATTGCTAACAAAATAATTGGATCATATCCGTAAAGGAAAAAAAAAAAATCTTAAAATTTAGCAAATTTATTGTTGGCAATGTAGGCCCAGCAATAAAATCCAGGACATAATAAGGTTTAGTAGCATAAACACCATTTGGTATTACCACTTTAGTTACCCAGGTACTTATTGAAATTTCAAAACCAAACTGATACCACTCACCAGCTCTAAGTATGAGCTTATTTGCTTAAAGGCTTGTCATTTTCATTCAGTACACCAGTTATATGATTGAATAGTGAAATGAACATTAAGTGAATAGTTTATGATTAAGTAGAGAGAAGGTAACAAGGTTGAAAATTTGGACTCCTTTTGAAAGCTTGGCACTACTGAATTTTGAATTGAGTTACTTCTTGAAGTGTTTTTTTTTTTTTTTTTTAAAGCTGAGATCACTTGAGCTGTTTATTATTAAAAAAAAAAATCAAGTTAAATCTTAGTCGGTCTGGGTTTTCAAATGTAACCAAATATAGCCACTCTGGAGTGCAGCTGAAAAGGCCCTAATTTAAGACTAAATTACATTTTCCAATGGTTTTAAAAGCTATTAGTTTTAAACCATTGTAAAATGTAATTTCTGGAAATATAATTATATATATATATAATATATATATATATATATATATATATATATATATATATATATATATATATATATATATATATATGAATGGCAAAAGGAAAATTTATTTTATCTGACATATTTTGTCCTCTGGCAGACATTATCAATGCAAATGTGAGGATTTTATTTTGCAACAAATATTTCTAAATAAAAGTAAAATATTTTTAGTTTTTAAAACTTTTTAAAATTAAATATAGCAGTCTTTAAAATTGCAAGTAAACAAATTAATAATAGAAAAAAACTGCTTCATTTAAGAATTTGAACATGATTGTAATGTTTTCCATTTCTTTTTATTTCAGGTTATTTGTAAATTCTATGACTGTTTAAATTTTGTATATTCTGTAACTTTTATATAAGCAGCATAGATAAGAAATAACTTCCAATGAGATTTAAAATTCACATCCTGTGTCCTTTGGAGTTTGATTAAAACAGCACTTTATCAATAAGGCTACAAAAATCAACAAACAGGCTTTTTTGTCATATGGCTACATATTTCATCATCTCATTTTATCCATGTTATATTTGTTTATACTATGTAGTGGCAGATGTACTAGTCTTAAGTTAACTAATATTTGCTGCTTACTTGTAGAATTTATAAATGCCCTGAGCATTTCTGATAAACTGAAAAAAAAAAATGAGTTGAAAATTAATAGGAACAATGCATTATCTATGGTGGTTAGAACTAATGTAGATTAACACATTTAAAAAAAATAGAGATTACAAGAGGCTGTCATTTATTTCCTTCAATCAAATGATGTTTGTACCTAACAAAAATTATTGACACATTTAAAAATCCTCAGAATATTAAAATTATTTTATACAAAACGAAATTTTTACTAGTTTTGCTTTCATCTTACTTTTATTGTTTATTACAATTCTTTGGTTAATTTGTGATACTAACAAGTTTGGTTATTTCCACCATTCATCCCTCTGGCCTTCCTCAGGTGTATATCGGGCAGCCAACAGGGAATTCTGAATTGAACCCTTTATTTAATCTACAGGAGTAGACTGTTCTCATTCCACTGCTCATGTCTAGGGATAACATATTCTTCTTATTTTTTAGTATTGTTCAGTTATTATGCCTGTTTCCGCTGAATGCAAGTACACATTGCCCAACCCTGTAGGACAATTTGCTGTAGTGAACTTAGAGCTTTAAACTTAACCTAGCTGCTGATTAGGTTGCAACAGCAGTTGCTGTCTGTCATGTTTTAACTGCTGCTGCTACTGTCCATATTTTGATTGCTGCTACAATGGCTTAGTGGATAAAAGTGTTGGTTTGTAAATTTGGTGACATATGTGAGTTTCATCCCTGAATTGGATAGTGTGTACTTGTACTCAGTAGAAATAAATGGGTGAACAATAACTAAACTTCTTCTTGTTATTTTTTAGTACTATTTAATTATTATTTGCCTGTTTCCACTGAGTGCAAGTCACACTGCTCAATCAATTGCTGTAGTGAACTTAGAGTTTTAAACCTAACTTAGATGCTGATTATGTTGCAACAGCTGCTGCTGTCTGTCATGTCTTGATTCTTGTCTTTTATTTCTGATCTGCTATAGAATGATCATCTGAAAGTGATGAAAAAAATAAGATAAAAGAAATACTAGTAAAATAAAAAATAATGAACTGTGTTGTGATGTAATCTGTAATATATAGCATTGTCACTTTATATACATTTATTGAGCAAGTAGTCTGATCTCCCTTTCTTAGCAATAAAATATTGGGTTGTTAATTGGAGCCATTTGATGGTAATGTCTTGTGTTACTTTAACAATGGAATATCACATCTGTAATTAAGAGAGATCAGGTTGCTAATATTATTTCTTTTGTTTGGAGTTTGCTTTCTTTAGATATTTTTACTTTTAATGATTTAAAAATCAAAATTTCTTTATAGATGAAACAATAATTAATAAAATTCTTGATAATTCGTTATTTACACTACTTACTATTATCCTCATCTTTGTTGATGTTATCATATTTCAGCCATTGTGCACTCTGGCCTTCATCAGGTGTGTGTCGATTTGGGTAACATGTGACAATGTCCTCATGAATTTGGTGACATAGTAATTGTGAGTTCAATTCCTGGGCTGGGCAGTATTTACTTGGGCTCAGCAGAAACAGGGGGTGCAATAACTGAAGAAATAAGAACTAGAGATATACCTAAACATGAGCAGTGGAACAAGAACATTTTACCCCTGTAGATTAAATAAAGGGTTAACTTTGGAAGTTACAGTAGGTTACTTGGATTGATATAGACCTGAGGAGGTCTGGAGAACGCAACAGCCAAAATGTGATAACAATAACAAAGATGAGGACAATGGTCTGAATATAGATAATTCAGACTGAAATAATCAGTTCAGTTGCAAAAGCACTTAAATATACCTTTTGGGGTGGGGTGATAAACATATTAGTAAATGCATGTTTATAAACCCAGAAAATTTTTTTTTTTTTTTTTTTTTTTTTTTTTTTAAGTGGTGGTCTCAATAAAGAAAGAAACATTAAATAAGCAGATTCATTAACTTAAATAAAATCTTTGTCATCAGGAATGATTGAGATATATATACACACACACACACACACACACACACTATTGGAGGCTTATGATCACTGAAGTTAAGCAACATTGAACCTGGTCAGTACCTAGATGGGTGACCACTTGGGAATATCAGGTGCTGTAAGCTTGTATGTAAGGGTGATTGTTAATTGGAGAGCTGAGTTTCAATTCCAGTTGGGTTTGTTATATTTACTTACCTTGAAAAAGGTATGAATTCACCTCTTCTTCCCCCCGGCTATGGGTTAACTCTTAAAATTTCTATCACTAAAATGTTATCTCCCCCATCCAAATTCTTACTATGTAAAAATATTTTCTGGCTTTAAATAACCTGCAATGAGTTGATAAGCTGTGGAAAATGACTCAATCGATCAGTCACCTCAGAAGAAATTTATTTTTATGACTAAAGAAATTTCTTGCTTTCACTCTCCATTACTACAAAAAAAACCCCAAAAAAAACCAACGTATTTTCTTTCTTTTTTTTATATTGTAATTGTCAGTTATTTACACTATTTACATTGTTTGGACTGTTGTTCTCATCTATACTGACACGTTCGTGATGTTTCGGCCTTCTTCAGGTGATATTTGTTGGAATTTTGAACCAAACCCTTTTATTTAGACCACGGGGGTAAATTCTAATTCCAGATACCATGCCTTTGGATAACTCTGTTTTAATTCTAGATGGCTCTCCAAGTTCTTGCTGTTCTCATTGAAGCCAGGTATTGAACTCTCAACTCTTTGGGTCAAGTCACTTTTTAAGTCAATCAACCAACGCTTTTATCCAGTGAGCCATGGGAAACATCGTGAATCTGACAGTAAGGATGAGAACAATAGTCCAAACAATGTAAATCATCACAATACCTCCTCTCAGAAATATAGACTGATGTTGTCGGCCATTAATTTTTATTTGTTTTTCTTTCATCTTAAGTCTACAACTGCTAATAAACAGTACAGCTTAGAAATTCTTAAAGATGATACTTACTTTAACTTTCGAATTTACTAATGACTGTAGAGTGATGGTCTTGTTAGTTGGGATAAAAAGTAACTGAAATTAAGATATATTAGAAAATTCATTTTTTTGTCTTAATTTTTAATTTCAATACATTTAAAAAAATTTTTTTTTCTCTCTTTGTTTTAGGTTGTCTATAAAATACTAACTATCCTTACACTGTGCAAGGGTTGTCCTGTTTATTTTGTTTGTTTCTGATTTGCTATCTTTTGTCATTTTCAGTCCATGACCCTCCATATATCATTGCCGTTCTTCCCAAATATGTAGAAGTGCGGACAATACAACCTCGTTTGCTGATCCAGAGTATTGAATTAGCCAAGCCCAAATATATTTGCATTGGAAGGTGAGCACACGTTTCTCTAACAACTACCAAATCTTACCTGTACACTAGAGATTCTTTACAAGTATTTTAATGATCAGTTTACACTTCTTTCTTGTATCCATTATACAATCGAATGAGAAAAATGTTTTAAATAACAAGACATGATATTGGTGAAAGAAAATTACAGGGTAGAATGTGAATAGTCATCCTTGTATTTTAATGATGTTCACACTGTACAAAGCCCAAGAGCCACTCAATGTAGAGGATTACAGAGTAAGAGGCACAGTTTATGGGGGATATGTCGGGAAGATAATGGTTGACCCTAGACTGGATCAGATCAAGATTGTAGTAATCTTCAGAGTCAGTTCAAAAAAAAGCAGCAGTTTGTAGGAAGAAGCTGCTTAAGCAGAACTTATGTCTCATTAATAGAATATAAAGGGAATGGGAGTGGTTTGCTAAGAATCAGACATCATCAGAGCTGTTTTGACTTTTAAGGCACACTGCAAATCGGTATGATTTCTCATCTTCAACATGGCTACACATTTCTCTAACAACTACCAAATCTTACCTGTACACTAGAGATTCTTTCTTATTCATCTTATTCCCTAGCTCAGGTAAATGTTTATCTAAATCTAATACATCTACATATGGATTTGGTACTGATTCTCTCCCTCCACTCGCAAATAAAGCTCCTTTGACCCACTAATTATGCACATCTCATGTCTTTAAAGCATTAGGAATGTTAAAAATTTAAATATCAATGAAATAATCAAATACAAGAGAAATGAGAACAAATGTTTGCATTTAATTTTGCCTAGATTAAGAGAGATGGCTGACGATGAATTACCGGAAAATCAGTGGTGTATATGTACTTTTGCTGTATATTTTGTAATGACCCATTTTTGTTTATTTATTTATTTATTTATTTATTTTTAAGCTGAGGTAGGTAGGATAATGTGGAGCAATTGAGTGGCCATCACGACCAACAGACTTAACACCACCAGATTTTTTCTTGTGGGGTGTACTGAAAGATCCTATTTACAAGCTCAAACTGATAAATAATTCCTGAATAAAAGCAAGCAATTTCTGATAAATTTTCTTAAATGAATGTAGAAGTGTGTCAAATGGTTCGTCCAAGTGTTACTGATAGTATTCAGTATTGGTATTGAACATGGAGTGGGGGAGCATTTTGAACATGTTAGTCGCTTGTTAGTTGTAATAAATCATGTTGGTTTGATGTGATAAAACTTATAAATTTTCTTAAACGATTTTTTGCTTAATAAAATTTAATAAAAAAAACAAAAAACAAGGTGTTACTTTTGTCATATCCTGTATATGATGTAATGCCAAAATAAGTATAAGGTGTTTGGTGTAACTCTTATTTTTAATTTTTTTTTGTAAACAGCATTCAACTCCTTTAGGATTATTTAATACATTACAACTCATCTAAACCGAACATCCGAGATGTTTGGTACTGAGGGTAATGTTTGGATTTGAGGAAGAAAGGTTTGCTGTGGCAAACATAAAGTTTTTATTAAGCTTTAGAGTTTAGGATACAAAAGGTAGCTTGTAATGTTGATTCATTTTTATTTAAAGTGTAGAATGAATAAATAAATGTACAAAAAATAATTGACAACCAATAGTAATGAAAAAATTTGCTAAACAAATATTGTAATTTGCGAAAAACTAAGACACATCAAATGTTTAAAAAATAAATGAAATATCTTATTCAAAAAAAAATTATAATCTCTAAAGAAAGTCAAAAATAAAGATATACAATGCTTATGTTTGGTATTGAGAGTACTGTTCTGATTCAAGGAAGAAAAGGCTTCATATTTATGTCAATATAAAAGTTCAGATTTGAAGATGAGTCCAGATTTGAGGAAGTCTAGCTTAGGCTATTTTTGGATTTGGTGAGTTCTGCTGTATTTATTATTATAGTTATTTGTTTAATGGGGGGATATTTTAGTTTTAACTTGAAGGGTGAATTAAATTAAAATTTTTGTACTACTAGGACCAATTTACACGAGTTAAAATTTTTCATGATAAAATGAATATAATATCACTTCTAACAAGACATTACTGTGTATCTATCCTTCTTGGGAAACCTATGTAGCCATCTCCTCCATCACCTGATATGGGTTAAACAGTAGGATTTGTATCTGGAAAAATTATTCTCAAAAAATTGTTATTCTTACAATGCAAAATGTTTTGATTTTAAATAAGGGTTGATAAGTAAAAAAAACAAAAAACATAAAAACGACAAAACAACTCGATCAAGCAATCTGATTGCTTCCACCCTGAAACAAAATCTTCTCTGCTAGCTGGTTCCTTTTTATATGGATTTTTATAGTTAAACTGAATTATGCTAATGTATCCAGATGAAATCATGTGTCCAGGTTACAGGCTTTGACTATGTGTAAAAATCATGTGCAACACAAATGTATTCTTTCATGACTTTCTACAACAGGATAGAATTACAGTATTTGTTTTGTTGATTGTCAATTTCTTTGAAACCTGAATAGATTATTTTTTTTTTTCTAGTGGACTGGTCTATGTTGCATCCAATAATCATTGCTGGAGGTTGACGAAATTACCAATTTCAGTACAAGTTAATGATCTTGTTCGAATGAAAGAATTTGAACTGGCTTTACGTCTTGTGGTGAGTAGTGCGCATATATATATATATATAATATATAAAATGTTATATTTATTTAAGAAATAATGTTGGATTGTAAATAAAAACAGTATCAAAAAGGTTTGTCTTTCCAATGTTTTAGTTTCTTCAAACAAGTTTTATGAAACAATACCAACAAGTTGGGCAGGCACACCTTGTAGGACGTCCTGGGTATGACGATAAAATACGTCCGCGTCCTGGGTATGGCAATAAACTGTGTCCAAAAATAATGTTGCCAGCTATGTTTTTGAAAAAAAATAATGTTTCCAGCTATACGTATACTAGTACTATGTATTTAATATATAACTAAATTTGGTATTAAATGACCTACAGTGGTTGATATGCCATAAAACCCAACCAACACCTTGTAGGTATTGATTAATAAAACTTGTTTGAAAGAATTTTTGCTGCCTAAATACACCTTGTATAATGTGGAATCCTAAATAATTTCTGTTTTTGTTAATTTTTCAAAAAATAAAGTACAATTACATTTTATTCATATGTTTGTTTTTTTTTTTTTTCTTTTTTTAATCATTTCATCCCAAGCATGGCAGTAAAGCCACTAGGATGCAAGAGGTTACTGAGTGTTAGAAAATATAAAAATTATATGATACTATTAAAGAGAGAGAACAATATAAGAACAAGAATTAAGAATGTTGTGGGTCAGTGTATGTGTTGAGAGATAAACATATGTGTCTTCTGAAATGCCTACAACAAACATGGCAGACTCGGGATGTGAGTCCATGTAAATAAATGTGAAGAAATGACAAGAACTAATATATAAGTACAAACAAATGATAATGTATTAACACTAAAGGGTTACAAGGGACAAAGATGTGTGTGTCAAATGAATGTAAAAACCTAATGGTCCAAAATAGGTGTAGTAAGTGAATGTGCATATGTACATGTATATGTATTGTTTGTGCATTTCCCAAAAGGGAATGTGTTCTCTGTGTGATATTTACATGTTGATGGATAAGATAAGAAGAGAACAAGAAAATTATATTGCCGAGTATTTATAGTCCGGAAAGCGTCTCTTAGTAGTGATTTTGAAAATTAAGAGGAGTTAACTGAGCAAGAAGACAAAAGAGAATGATTGACATTTCATTTAATTTTTTGAAGATCGAAATTGACTGGTAAGCAAGAGGCTGGAAGAGAAGTGCAAAAGAAGAAATTGTTAGTATAGAACTTAGTTACATCTGTTTCAACTGTAAAATGATGAGAATTTGCCGCCAATCTAGTACTGCACTTAAATTCATAATGTCTAGGTACCATAGATTATATATTTATTATTTTCGATGACTTGTTGCTGCTTATCAGGCAACTCTTTGATAACTTGTAGAATTATATTTAAAAGGTTTGTTGTGATAGTTTTGAACAAATTCTTGAATCTCTATTTTTTTTATTAGAGAAAGTTTTGCAGTGATTAAAAAAAGGTAATCGGTTGGTGCCAGGTCAGGTGAATATGGTAGATAGGTTAAAACAGACAGAGTTCCAAAATTCTTTCCTGTTATTCTTGCTGAATGCAGTCCTGTGTTGTCATGGAGAACATTTTTTCCTTTTATCTTCCATGTAGGCTGCCACTGTTGTGCAAAATCTAAACTGTTAGTGTACTCCAAATTTATTAACTGCCATGTATGTTTAGTAATTAGGATGCTACATTTGTTCAATACATTATACAATTATTGTTTGTACAGAAAGTAAGTACCTATATACATCAAATTATCTTTAATTAAGTGGCAGCAGAAGAATTATCATTGAAAGGTAAGTTTAAATATAAATACTTAAATGATCAGCGATCAGTTTTGAGTTCTTCTGTAGTTTATTTTTGCCTATTGCATATGGCAGCAGCATGCCTCACAAAAAGAAAAATCTGCCAACAGAGGACCAGATTGCAATAAATAGCCAAGGCTGCAGCAAGAAAAAGAAAGTCCCATGCAAATGAAAACCCAGATCAAACAGCAGCCAGAAGAGCTTCCAATGTTGAGACTCCTGAACAAGCTGAAGGTCCCATCAAAAGCCTTCCACATGAGCCAGCTTAATTGCTGCCTGATAAGTGGCTTTTAAGCTTGTGTGTGTATGTATGTATGTATGTATATATATATATAATATCTATATATACTTACATCCACTAGCATCCTACATAGTTTACCTTGACTTTCACAGTTAGCCTGAAGAATATTTGCAAGCGTTCTTAAATTTCAAAATTTTGAAAAGCTAAAGATGTTTTTTTTACTTCTGTTTTATGAATACTTGTCGCAAAATAAAATCCTTACATTTGCTTTGATGAAGTTTGTCAGAGGACTAAACGTGTCAGTAAAGAAGTTGTCTTTATTCATATTGTCTATTTACAGATATATTTTCATTTATATCTTATTTTTACACACACACACACACACACAAAGTGCAATGGATAAATTGCTGTCTATATGACACAAAAATGAAAATGCTGACATCTTATTTTAACAGATATATTTACCAAAATTACACAAAAATATTTTGAAATACTAAAGAGTAAATTTATTCAATAAAATTGCCATTGGCTTAAACCACAGCCTCCAGATGACCTTGGAGTCTTCAGCATCTCTTCTGAATGGTCTCCTTGTTGGTGAATGCTACCATAATCCTTGCCTTCAGTTCATCAGTGTTACAAGGAGTTTTTTTTTTTTTTTTTTTTTTTTTTTGTTGTTTTCTCTCTCAACTCTACCCCACAGATAATAATCAAGGGGGTTACAGTCTGGGAATTTGGTGATCAGATGTAAGAGGTGATGCGGTCACAGAAATTGTCTGAGAGCCATAACTAGGTTTTCCTGCTTGTGTGGCATAGTGCAGAGTCTTGTTGCCAGACATAGGGTCTTCTGCAGTCATGTTCCTGACCCAGGGCAGCACTACCTCCTCAAGGCACTTGATGATTGATGTAAGCCTTCACGTTGAGTCTAAGGCCCTGTGGGTACATGAATAGAAGCATAACATCACCATCACTAGTGATCATTCCAAACACCTTCGTAATCACCATTAGACTCATCCAACTCTTTCCAAATCCTCTGCACTGTTTCATCTTCAAGCGAATTTTGGAACTTCATTTGAAGATGAAACAGAACTAATGCTTTTAATTTAATTATATAATTAAAGTTTTTAGCTCCGTTTTTTGAAACATGATTATTACTGTGTAGTGAAGAAACCATATTTTAAATCAGTTAATTTATTATATATTTGGTTGGATTGATGTGAGTTTGTGACCCTGGGTTTCATGCTTTTGCGATCGTCAGTTGTCTGACAATCGCAAAAGCGTGAAACCCAGGGTCACAAACTCACATCAATTCAACCAAATATGTTAGCTCTATCTCTGATATTTAGAACTTTTTAATAAGTATTGTACATATAATATATGAATAATAATATATATAATACACACACACACAGAGTTGCTGAAAAGGTCTCAGTTTAGAGAACTGAATGAACTTGAAACCTGAAACATGCTATTCTGTGTATTCCTCTCTCACATTTCAACATACTTTTGAGCCCATTTTTCAAGTTTCTTTAACCTTTTCAAAAAATGTCTGATGCTTTATCATCAGAATACTATTTCAGGGAAATGAGTTAGCTGAGAAAGTTTCAGGATCAACATTTTTTTTTTCTTTTTTGTGGGTGCATAATTTTATATAAATTGTTTTGCGTTTAAATTGGGGCTTCCCAGATTGTTTCATTGATGACACACTTTTTTTTTTAAAAAAATAAAATATTTTGCAACACATTAAATTTTATTAAACAAGCCAAATATGCAATTTGAAATAATTCGTTGAAATATTGATTTGATAAATAATGACTAATTAATCAGATTATAATGTTATTGCACACCAGTTTGGAAAGCTCTAGTTTTGATAATTTTGGTGAAGTTTGTTTACAAGTATTTTAATGATCAGTTTACACTTCTTTCTTGTCTCCATTACACAATCGAATGAGAAAAATGTTTAAAATAACAACAAGACATGATATTTGTGAAAGAAAATTACAGGGTAGAATGTGAATAGTCATCCTTGTATTTTAATGATGTTCACACTGTACAAAGCCCAAGAGCCACTCAATGTAGAGGATTACAGAGTAAGAGGCACAGTTTATGGGGGATATGTCGGGAAGATAATGGTTGACCCTAGACTGGACCAGATCAAGATTGTAGTAATCTTCAGTCAGTTCCAAAAAAAGCAGCAGTTTGTAGGAAGAAGCTGCTTGAGCAGAACTTATGTCTCATTAATAGAATATAAAGGAAATGGGAGTGGTTTGCTAAGAATCAGACATCATCAGAGCTGTTTTGACTTTAAGGCACACTGCAAATCGGTATGATTTCTCATCTTCAACATGGCTACTCATTTCTGAGCCTGCTCATCTACTCAGGCCCATTTGTGTTTCCTCAACACCTACAAAGCCAACCTGTGGTTTATACAGCAACTAGACCTTAGTTACAATTAAAATATATGCCCCCATCAGGACCACACATGGTTTTTGATTCAAAGTTACCATTCTCTTATACTGGTCCCCAAACATAGCTAGAATCCAGGCTGTCCTGTTATTTAACCCATAGCTGGAGGGAACAGTTCATACCTTTCCCAAGAGTATTAGTGCAAAAGTGAATGTGACAAATTCAGCTGAAATTCAAATTTGGCTTGCCAATTTCTAGTTTCAAGTGCCTAATCATTATACCACATGTTCCCATGATAATTTTCCGATAGTTAAGGTTTTACAAGATTTCACTCCCTTGATATATTAGGACAACCTAAGATGCACGTTGTGCATGTTCAACTGTCTGGGCATTGTATAACATATTTAAAAATGCGACATAAAGTAAAAAGAGTGTCAAGACAGCAAAAGATAGTTTTCAGAAATTGAGTAAAGTAATAAAGAATTGCAAAATTACATTAGAAATGAAGATTACCAGACTGCTATATGATGTCTCTGATAGTTGTTGCAAATGAAAAAAAAAAAAACACAACAGGCAACCAAGATCTGATTCTACTGATATATGTTGAGTTTGCCATGGATAGAACATATGTCAAATGAAGTTTTAACAAGAATAGTAATGACCAAAAAGCTGTTAATAACAATCAGAAAGGGATGGCTGAAATTTTTGGAATACATAGTAAAGAAAGAAGGATTGGAGAAATTAATGTTCACAGTATGCATTGAAGCCATAAAGAGCAGAGGAAAACGGCCAGTCATCAACTTGACAAGAAGAAAAAGGAGAAAATACACTGGCATGCAAATCTTTTGAGTCACCTTGCTACATTAATTACTTCTGTTAATTATACCTCAAAAGTGAGAATGATTAGCAGCTTGGCCTGTATGTATTACTCTTGGAATCTCTGGCCAGTGATTTATGACCCTCACTAGCTTATCAACATTTTCTTTTTTCTAGCTACACTTATATACGTTAATAATTAAACTACTGACTATTAAAGGATGGAAAAAATTTCTGTATTTTAATATCATTCTTTTGTTTTTTGTTTATTTTTTTTTGTTCAAATCTGTGAATGTGTTAAAATTATTTAACTTTTTCACAAGAAAAATCTAAAGTTGATGTTAAAAATTGCCGCAAAACATTGTTGATTTATTTAAGATGAAATGCTCTATTGACATGTTGCTAATTTGTATTTAAATTTTTCTAGTTGAATTGTTCACCTATATTGCATATGATCCATTATTGTACATAATTAGGTTAGAATAAAATTTGTATATTTTATGAATACTACCTTATGAAAATTGAGATGTAGGGTATGGGAAAAATATATTTATTTAAGATGGAATGATTTATTATGACATGTCTCTAATTTGTATTTAGATACATTGTATTTATTTTCAATTTTTCTAGTTGAATTGTTCACCTATATTGCATATGATCTATTATTGTATATAATTAGGTTAGAATAAAATTTGTATTTTATATGAATAGTACCTTATGAAAATGTAGCATGGGTATAGGAAAAATATAAATCCAGCACTTCTCCCTCTGACTATGAACAGACTGGGTCTTATAGATTTTGGTTGCAACTGGTCTAAGAGAAGGTCAACTCTGAATTCAAAACCTCCAACTATGGATTAAATAACCTCACCAACCTGCAATTGGCCAAGCGTGTTGTGTACAGCTACACCCCTTAAGACCTGGTCAATCAAGGAAGGGTTCCTTTTCAAGGAGTGAGAAGCCTCTGGATCTGTTTTATCTCTGGTACCTTTTTTTTTTTTTTTTTTTTTCTTTTTTCATAAAAGCTTATGGTCATATATATCATTTTGAAACACCAGTTCCTGTATAATCACCAAAGTTAAGCAACATTCTGCCTGGTTGGTATTTAGCTGGGTGACCATTTGGGAATACCAAGTGCTGTAAGTGTGAATGTGAAGCTAGTGTAATGGATAATGGCTCAGAATTGTTAATTGGAGAGCTGAGTTCCAATCCAGTTTTATATTCATTTATGCAGAAATACCCTTTGGAATAGTATGAATCCATCTCTTCTAACCTCTAGCTATAGACTTGCTTCACTAAACCACTATTATCTCAAAAAAAAAAAAATTCTACTCGTCTAAAAATATTTCCTTGCTTTAAATAACCTGCAAAGGGTTGATAAACTGTAAAAAAACAAACCAATTATTTATTTTTATTAGCAAAATCAAAAGCCGATCTTGGGTAACAGACTTGAATATAAAATATGTCTTGTGTCTATCAACAAGTAAAATGAAAAACTTACTCAGTTACACAAATCTCAATAATCTTCTGTAAATATTTATATGGTAATTGTTCTGATGAGCTTTCCTCGTTAGTTCCTTAACTTCACAAATTTAAAAGCAGTAATAGATTGGCAGCTCAGTCTCATATTTCACTGTTGAGATCGCTTGTGGAATTCAATTCTTCATGGTTCTCTGTCAACTATGATCTTCAAAAATTGCAGTGTCACTTGACATATCTTTGAATCCTGTTCTTTTATTTTCCTCCCTGTTTCTTTCACTTTCAGTAACCCCTTGCATCTTAGAGGCTTTATTACCTTGCTTTGTTTGAAATGATTAAAAAAAAATACATTAAATCTGAAACAAATTTTTAATACACTTGTGCATCTTTTCACTAAAAATGCATCTAATAAGCAAATAAACGTACAAATAACATGTGCATACATGACTCTTACTTGTGTTGCTGGCCACTTCACACAGGGCCAATAATAATACAGCCCTTCATAAAAAAAAAAAAAAAAAAGTTTGCCCACTCCTGATAGAAGTCTATTTTAGATTTTAATGTAAATGTGTTTCTGATGAGTTTCACTATAGAAATGCATTTCAAATCAAGTAAAAGATGGTGGTGATTTTAATGTATTTGTTAATGTTTATTAATAATGAGAAGTGGCTCAAAGAATTTTTATTGGAATTTGTTTCCAAATCTTTTCATAGGAGGAGAATATGGACACCGAATCAGAATCTGAAAAGCTGCAACGTATGCAGAAGATCAAGAACCGTCATGCCTTACATTTGTTTTGCCAGCACCAATTTGAAGCATCTATGAAACTCTTCATGACATTAGACACTGGTTTGTACTATTTTTATTTTTTCTCTATTGGAAAGAATTGCCAGGATTGTCTTGCAATAAAGAATTGGCAAACTTTAAACTTTGTGCCTGCAAAAAAAAAAGAAAAAAAAATTTTTTTTTAAAAGGACAATTATTCCATTGATGTCACTATTACTGTATACACTTTTGACTCCCTCAGCAATGTTTACAATGTGATATTTACCATTTTATAAATATTTATCAGTTATAGAGAAACTTGAAAAATCTTTTTATTCAAAAATTTATAAAAAATATAAAATTAAATATGTAAACCAACTACAATGTGATATTTTTTTATTTACCATTTTGTAAATAACTATGAAAACAAATTTTTAATTCATAATTTTATAAAAATATTGGTGAACTATTGTCAATTCTCAAGAAAAAAGAAAATGTATAAATCCATTTTCATACATTTGTGTTTCTTAAAATTATCGTTCTTTTAAAACAAATATTACTGAGGAAGTCAAAAGTAAAAGCAGTATCAAAAGAATAACCATCTTTTTCACATAGGTTTTTTTGTGCCCATGAAGTTTAAACATTGCCAAAAGCTATATTTTAGTAAATATTTTAAAACTCTTGTAAATTTGGTTTCAGCTGCGTAGTCATTTTGGTTAAAGTTATTCAATTTAATGTTTCATGTTAATCTAAAGATTAGATTTAAAAGAATTATCAACCTACTTTCACATGGAAACAAAATCTTTACAAGAATTAAGGTTTAAACCTCTCCTGGATGAATGACATTTTTTTTTTCTTCTTTTCTTTAATATTCCCTAAAAGGCTCCAAATTCTTATGGTGGAATATTATCTGAATTTTCTTTCTAATGCATGAAGTTTATGAAACTGAATTTAAATCTTATATTTGTGGATAGCACTAGCAGAACAGCCTGAACTCTTTAGCTGTGGTTGGTGACTAGTATAAGAGAATGGTAACTTTGAATCAAAAACCATATGTGGTCCTATTGGGGGCATATATTTTAATTGTAACTAAGATCCACTCAGCATAGTTGCTGTATAAACCTCAGGTTAGCTCTGTAGGTGTTGAGGAAACACAAATGGGCCTGAGTAGATGAGCAGGCTCAGAAATGAGTAGCCATAATGTTAGATAGAAATAGGTCAGTCAATCTACTGTGTTTTTCTCAGCCCTAAGCAGGACAGAAATATCATTAGTAGATGACCTCTTAAGTATTGAGCTGGGTAACCTACAGGGAATATCTGAATTGAACCCTTTATTTAATCTATGGGGGTAGGCTGTTCTCATTTCACTGCTCATGACTAGGGATATCTTGTCTAGTTCTTACTTTTAGTGCTGCTCAGTTATTGCTCACCCTGTTTCTGAGCCGGCCAATATGTACATTGACTGTGTGGAAACAGGATGAACAATAACTGGGCAATACTAAAAGTAAGAATTAGATGAGATATTCCTAGACATGAATAGTGAAACGATAATGGTGTACCCCAGTAGATTAAATAAGGGGTTCAGTTCCTGTAGATTAATTGGATCGATGAAGAGCACAATGACCAAGATGTTGTGATAAAAACGACAAAGATGAGGAGAATAGTCTGAATGTAAATAGTGTAAATAATGATACTCCACATCCCAGAAAGTCGGTCAGAAATTACAATTATACACTTGTTTTTACAAGTTTACCGTCATCACTGTCCTATCTTCAATAAATGAATTTTCATTTATTATTTGTGAACTAATTTGTCTTCTTTTTGTAGATCCTTGTCATGTGATTGGCCTCTTCCCTAACTTGCTGCCCTCAGATTACCACAAAGATCTCACCTACCCAGAAAGCATCCCTGAATTGGATGGAGGAGAATTGGAAACAGCCTTATTAGCCCTCATTGATTATCTTAACGAAGTATATAAATATATATTTTATATCATGGTTGTATCAATTTTGATAATGTTTGGTCTTTTCAAAGAGTCTTCTTCCAAGAATAGTGGAAATAGTGTTTATAATAATATAAAAAGTCTGATAAAAACTCCATTAAAAATATGTTGTAGATTTGAACCAACCTACAACAAAGAAAAAGGTGAAAGGTTTTTAAATATAAAAATGTAAAATATTTTTGTTCTTGTGTTTTTACAACTAAATTTTTCTCAGCGTGTATGAGTGTTAAAATTGTCGTGTTAAAGTTCCTTGCTTGTAGTTATTTAAGATGAACAGAAATGTGATTTCTTTGCATGTATGTGTGAGAAAAAGGTGGCAAAGGAGTAAGTGAGGAGGAAAGTGTGCCATATAGCTTGGCAAGGAAGACTGGTGAATGAGTAAGAGAATCTCTTGAAGCTGCTGTTGTGAACTGATGTTGCATGAATCCATCTCTATCTCCTTATTGGGTTTGTCTGTTTAGAGACTTTACTTAAATACTCTTCAAAGGGATCCAAAAAGATGTTTTTTATTGTCAGTGGGAACATGGTTTGTTGGTTGAAAAATGTTAAATATCTATTTTCAAAGGATTAATTTATTAAGTGGAAGGATGTGCGAATCCTTTGACTCGTAAAACATTTTTTTGTCCTTTGGGGTTTGACTATCTTGCTGTTTATTCTGTCAACACTTCACAAATATATATATGAATGTGTGTGTGTGTGTGTGTGTGTGTGTGTGTGTGTATATATATATATATATATGTGTGTGTGTGTATAAATACTAATTAGAAAGCTGACAGGAAAAAGCTTTTCACAATCTTCCCTGTAAGAATAAAATCCAATACATTATCCTCCAAATTGCACATAGGCAAACTAGAATCAAGATACACATACATACGTAAATTTACACATAAACTTTACAAAACAAAATGCATGTGAAGTCTGTTTAACTAATGAAAAACAAGCACAAAAATGAAAAATATCAAAATACCAACATTTTTAGTTTGTAGAAGAAAGTGTACAAAAAAAATAAATAAAGACAGAAATAATATTCAAACGCAGCTCTACAAATTCAAATAATTTTTTGGAGTATTTATTTTCTTTCAAATTGAAAGAAACAAATTAAAAAGGCCCTTGCAAAACAAGGTCCCACAGAAATATATTTTTTTTTTTTTTTACAACAGAAATAATCACATTAGTCTGGTAAAAAAAAAAACAAAAAAAACAATGTGCCTACTTAATGAGTCACGTATTTACATTATTTTATGTATGTGTGTAATTTTTCCAGCAGTTAGCAAATGAGAGCTGTATTATTCCTACTACTAATATTTTGTTTACATAACTCTGTATGTTTTCCATGTTGCTTAATTTACTTTAAAATTGTGGGGATAAGTTTTAAAGTAAATTAAGCAACATGGAAAACAAAAAGAAGTTAGTAAATAAATATATGAAAGTTTGAGTAATTAATTATATGGAAGATATGTGTAATCAGTTTGTGCACAGTGACAATTCTGGTCAGTTTTACTGAAAAACTGACTTTGTGAATTTATTTATAACAGAGTATGCTCTAGGAAGCTAAAAGCATAATTTACTGAACTCGGATAATAAATATTTTTTAAATTTGAATTTGGAGCTGATGTTTGCACAGAATTGAGATTTTTAGGGATATTACTTAAATCTGTTGAATTTTTCTATAATTTTTTAACGGGGTTCCACACTTTTGTTTATAAATACTTGTTGCAAAATAATATCCATATATCTGCCTTGATAAAGTCCATAGTGGATAAAACATATCGGCTAAGATAAGGTTTCTTTTTGTCTTTATTAATATTGTCCTTTGACAGATATATTTTTAGCTATATTTGAAATTTCATACACACACACACATATACACATATATAAATAATGAGAAAGAACAATAATATTTATAATCCAGTGTTCGTATTAATTATTTTTAAAAACTGTGCTCAATACAATTCTGTAGAGCCTATAAATTTACTAATTTAAAAATATGGTCCCATTGCTCTCTACAGAATTGAGCACTGTTTTTTAAAAATAAAAATAATAACACTGGATTATAAATCTTACTTTTCTTTCTCATTATTTTAATATATATATATATATATATATATATATATACACACATCAGCTCCTAATTAAGGTTGAGCACTCTTAATCTTTATTTTTAAGTATGGAAAAATAAATTTTTCTCTGAAGAACATTCCTAATACCAGCAAATTATTTCGTAATATTAATGCAGAAAACAGAGGAACTCATACTAAGGATTCCTGTGTAGTGATGGGACTATATTTTTTAATTAGTAAATTTATATATAATATATATGTATGATTTACGTACTTGAATGTTTGGTTTTCATCTTTTCCAGAAAGGTTATCGCATAAAGAATCATTCAGGAAATGAAATCACAACAAGTGCCATTGGAGACATGAATCGAACAATTACGTCTAAGCAGCAAATTGCACAGATTATTGATACCACTTTGCTCAAATGTTACATTGAGGTAAGTCACTTGCTTTTGTTGGCATTGATTTTTCAAGTTCTTACTCTCACCTTTCTGTTTCAAATGTCCGTGTTTGAAATATTACAAATCGATTTTCTTGGATGCATCTGAATACAGAAGTCAAAAAGGAAACTGCAAGCTTGAAAATTGTATTCAACTTTAGCTTGAGAATTTTTGTCTGAATTTCTGGGATGAGGAGTTATCATTATTTAAAAAAAAAACCTCACTGATAATGGTTCATGAAAGCTGAAGTGCCCAGAAGATGTTGGAGAAGATGTTTAAATCTTTCTTAGAAATCAGAAAAATGGTTTGAACTGTATAAAGAAAAAAAAAAAAATGGATGAATTTTAGTTGGTCTTCAATGACACCCCCCTACACACACACACACACACACACACACACACATCTCAGCAGTCAATTGCTGATACCTCCTGATGAGTGGACTGATGATTATAAAAATGGTTTGTCTACAAAACTCTGGAGTCAGGCTGCTATATATAACATCAGCTAAGTAACAAATTTTATATTTGTATTAATCATATACATACGTGTGTGTGTGTTAATAGGATGTAGTATCCAGACAAAAGTGGAAAAGTTTTGTTAATGACAAAACATTTTTGCAAATCTCTGCTAGGTTTGGTGTATTCAGGTCAGAATCTTACTTATTATAAAACTCAGGTTGTGTGTGTGTGTTTGTACGTTTATATATTGGATCGGATTTCGTACATTTTTCAACCGATTTTAACAAAACTGCACAAAACTACGTAAGATTACCTTGCGGTGGTTCTGACAGCGCCAAAAATTGGAAAAACACAATTGTTTTTGCATGAAATCCATTTGAAAACACGATTAAGAGGCATTAATGAAAGGGGGACAACTCATATTGAGCTATACTTATTAATATCGAGTTATCGACTTATACTTATAAAACTAATGTGGGTTGTTTGTGTGTGTGTTCATTTATATATGGGATCAGATTTCCTACATTGTTCAACCAATTTCAACAAAAATTCACTTTTTTTGGGAGGTAGTGTTTCTTATTGTCTTGCACACTTTTTCCTTTATTTTTACATTCAGAATGCTTTAAAAATTCCATTTACATGACAATTGTTTATAATAAAATTCTATTCAATCGGTAGACTCATAACGATTGAAAAAAATTTTTTTGTTTGAGTTTGGTTTTGACCAATTCGTAAAAAAACAAAACAAAAAAAAAGATAATTAAGACATGCGTGTCCGTCAACCTTAAACAATAATCTTTGTCAATTCTATTTTTCAGTCTTTATGATGGTCGATACTTGATCTATCTCTTACTGTTACATCCCTGGGTAACACCGGGCTCTACTGCTAGTGAAAGACAAAACTGTGTGATGAAAATGCATTGGGATTTTTGTAGATAAAAAAGGGCAATAAGTTAAATTACCTTATCAGAGCCAACAATCAGATAATGCTTTTTTTTTATATTAAAGACATTAGTGTCTGTTGGGTTTAAAATTAGCCCATTTTTTGATCTGTTTTTTTTTTTTTTTTTTTTGCATTACTTAAATAGACAATTCCACTCATAAAAAAATAGGGCCAACAAGTTCCTCTCATAAAAATAGGGAGCCAGGAAAAATATTGTTGCATTTTCTTCTCTAAATTCCTGTTTCATTCTTTTTCTTAAGCTATATATATATATATATATATATTATATATGAGGAAATATAGTTTTAAGGTGTGTTATATTTATGGGATAAAGTGCTCAATATTAGATAGAGCGTACGTAAATATAAAAGTGAACATTGAAGTCAACACTCAGAAGCAACAAACCGTTTCATGCTAAATGCAATCATCAGGCCACGTGTTGTGCTTTTCGCGACTATATATATATGGGTCAGTGGTGCATTGTAGATAGTCTATTGCATTGTGAGTAGTCTATTCTAATGGTTATTTTGGTGGGAGTGGTTTGTTAATTTGTTTATTATTTACTTTATTTATTTGGATTAATTTATTTTACTTGTTTTTGATTATTTTTATTTTATTTATTTTTATTTATTCTTTTTAGTTTTTGATTTTTAAGTAACATAGTAAAAATTTGTTTTCATTTTAAGATGAGTTCTGATCATATATTTAGTAGTTTGTTTTGGTCTAGGAAGGTAATTATAGCTATTTTTTCCTCCAAGCAGATTTTGCAGTTGTTGGATTGATTGTTATAGGCTGATGTTCTTTTCCTTATTTTCCATCATATTTATGGTGTGATTTGTTTTTAATTTCCCAGATATACTTGGAAAGCATAATTAGAAAATAAATAAACAAAAACAAGTAAAATAAATTAATCCAAATAAATAAAGTAAATAATAAACAATTATTGACTATCACAATGCACCACTGACCTGTATATATAAATAGTTGAGAAAAAACATGCATGTGGCCTGATGATTGCATTGAGCATGAAACAGTCTGTCACCTGTGAGTGTTGACTTCAATGTTTACTATATATATATCTCTATCTATAAAAGGCAGGATGTGTGTGTGTGTGTGTGGCGAATGCACGGCCGTAATTTTCGACGGATTTGCACCAAAATTTACATGCACATGCTCCAAGTTATTTCCCAACTCCCATCGATAGTGGAAATAATCAATTTTTTTCATGCTTCTACAACAGTTTTCATGTAGTTTGCAGCCATTTTGTATTGGCCAGATATTGGCTAGCGTGAGAGCCAACAGCTGACTGACACGAATGTTAACTAGCATGCAAAAAAAATTGATAGCTGCATTCGTCACAAGTAGGAAAAATTTAAATCTGCATGGCACTTTACTCCATTTGGCTCATTAAACGTTGCTTAAACTCAATGTTGATTCTGATTCCGCAGAACTGGGTTCGGTGTGAAAAAAGTATTTGTTGTTAACATTCTTTTTCATTCGGTTTTCCAGTTCTGAGTCCTTTTTTAAAGCTGATCATTTTGTGTTCATTTGTTTTAGTTCTTTTTTTGTAACAGATTTAATGTTTAGTATGGAGCTTAGAAAAAATTCGCAGTGTGAGATAGGCAAGAAATAAGGCATGTAGCAACATCAGCACAGCAAAGGGCACTCCTTTAAAGGCAAGGAAGGGCAAAAATATTTTAAGTCAAGTGATAGTGATTGCTGTATGAGTCGTACGATTTTTTGAATCAAAATGCAACGCGCCGAGCCATGCTGCTAGTATATATATATATATATATATATATATATATACACACACACACTATGATAGATAAATTGTTGTCTAAATTACACAAAAATGAAAATAACACTGACCTCTCATTTTAACAGATATATTTACTGAAATTGCACAAAAATATCTTGAAATACTAAAGAGTAAATTTATTCAATAAAATCACCATTGGCTACAACCATGGCCCCAGATGACTTTGGAATCTCCTGTAACTCTTTTGGACGGTTTCCTGGTTTAAGTTGTTAAATGCTGCCATAATCTTTGCCTTCAGTTCATCTTTGTTTTTACAAGGAGTTTTGTTATTCTCTCGCTTAACTGCGCCCCACGCATAATAATCAAGGGCGTTGCAGTCCGGGGTGTTAGGTGGCCAGATGTAAGAGATGAGGTGGTCACAGAAATTGTCTGAGAACCATGACTTCACTCCCTGCTTGCGTGGCATGGTGCAGAGTCCTGTTGTCAGACATAGTCACCCACTTGACCCATGGAAACACTACTTCCTCAAGGCAATTGATGCTTGATGTATGCCTCCATGTTGAGTCTGAGGCCCTGTGGGTACATGAATGGAGGCATAATGTTGCCATCACTAGTGATCACTCCAGACACCATGATGTTGACTGGATGGGATATATCATCCAACTCTTTCCAAATCACTGTCCTCAGATTAACACCCAAACACTGTGAAATGTTCGTTTCCGACATGAATGTCGAGCAGTGAAGCATGCCACTTCCAAATTTCTGGCAGGGTGAATTGCGTCATTGGTGGTCTTTTTCTCACAGAGAATGCCAAACTGACCCTATTATAGTGTGCAGTTGACAAAATCAACAACAAAGAATTCACATATGCAAAATTAAAAATATAAAATGACAACAATTTACTCATTGCTCTGTGTGTGTGTGTGTGTGTATATTTATAACTGAGATTTTAATTCAGATTCTTGGCATAAGCACCACTAATTTTCATATAAAAAATGGCCTAATTTGATTATTGGATTACAATATTTGATGCTATATAAGACTCTTTTGCTCCTCACACACTACCAACAAAAGAGGGGTCTTCAGATATATCACCTGTGCTTTATATGTAAAGTTTGCAAATCTGATCTGTCCTGATGACAACTATTTACTCTTGTTTTATTGGTAAGTCCAACTGTTTTGATAACGTCAAATTGGCAGCTGATCTAAAAAAAAAATGACCTACAATCTGTTGTTAACAGGGGCAAGAAATGGCTTGTTAATTTTAACATGTCCAAAACAAAACTGCATTCTTTTAATTGTTTGAGAGAAACTTTTTTGCCTTCAATCAACATGGCTGATGTTAACCTCCAGAATAATGACTCATTGTGCCTTTTTGGGTTAATGTTTTCTGTTGAGATGAAGTAGAAAGATTATAATTGAATCAATTTCTAGGTCTGCTGCTAAAAAAGTTGGTTCACTGTGTTGTGCTAAACAATTTTTCTTGTCTGAATCCATCTTACATATAAGTTTACCATTAATCATTAAATTTAATATTGATGCCACATCTGGTCTGGTGTTTCCGCTATGTATTTAGAAATTCTTCATGAACTCTAAGGAATAATATGTAATATTATTGGTCATGACCTGGCATCTCTTCCTATGTTACTTCCCCATCACCGTAACATAGCTTCTCTATGCTTTTTCTATAAATACTTTCATGGTAATTGTTCTGATGAGCTTTCCTCTTTGGTGCCTAGACTTTAGGAATTTAAACATGCTACTAGATTGACGGCAAGGTCTCATTTTACAGTTGAAATTGTTAGATGTAATCATAAGTTCTATGCTAATGGTTTCTTTTCTCGCTTGTGGAACTTCGTTTCTTGCTTTTCAGTCATCTTCAAAAATTTAAATGCAATGTTAATTACTACCTTTTGTCTTCTTAATTCCCATCCTTTTATTGTTCTCTTTTCTTAATGTTTTCCTGTTTCTCATATTCTTTCACACTCAGTAACCCTTTGTGGCTTAGTGGCTTTATTCACTTGCTTGGGGTGAAATGATTTAAAAAAAAAAAACCAAAAAACCGTTGAGATCTCTCTTAGTTTAATATCTACTTTGATGCTATAAACTTGCATCCAGATTTTTAGAACATTTCACCTTTCTTGGTAGATCTTCTATTTTTACAATCTTGGATAATTAAATAACAAACGTGATAAAAAGAAACTAAACAAGATTGGCTAAACTATATAGTCAAACACATGTTTAAAAGAAAAGTTAAAAGCTCAAAATTTCAGCATCTCTTTTCTTTTGTCTGCATGTGTAGTCACTTCAATATAAACATCACTTTTTCACTAAAGTTTTTTTGAGGATGGGTAAAATTTATTGTATAAAAAATCAGTTGTAAAACACTGAAATAAGTTGAAATTTCAGGTAATTTGCATTTTTAAGCTCTATGCTAAGTATCTAATAAAAATTTTGCGAATAGTTATATTTATGTATAAATTTACATGTTTAATTTGAAAATAACAAAGAAATTTTGATAAAATCTACCTTTTTTTTTGAGTTATCGACAATAAAAGTTTGGACTCATTCATGTCGTGGCAGCTATTACTGGTGTTGTTTGCATATATTTGCTGCGGAATAGATATTAACTTGTTTCGATTATTGCGCATACACTGATACAAACAACACCAATAATGGCTGCCGTGCCATAGCCAACAATGACATGAATGAGTCCAAACTTTTATTGTTGATAACTCCAAAACAGTAGATTTTATAAAATTTCTTTGTTATTTCTGAATTAGGCAAGTAAATTTAGGATAAAAAATAACTGTTCAGGAAATTTTTATTAGATACTTAGCGCGGGGCTTAAAAAGCAAATTGCCTGAAATTTCTTATGGAATCATTGGCATAAATTAGTATAATTTTTTTGAGATTCTTTTCGAGCCATTATCGTATATATTGCAAAATAGAGCCAAAAAATCAGGTAGGTGTTCAGCCTCCTATTATCACCCACATTCCCCCACAGCTGCTGTGATTCACTTGCAGTGTGGGTCAGCCATCTTGGATCCCAAGGTCTGTGCTATAGCAGTCGACTACTGTATAAAAATTTATAAATCTTTATCCCTTGCTACAGACTACTATTATATATCTGTATAAAAAAAAAAAAAAAACACAGGAAGGTAATATAAAATGTCAAGTGGTTGGGTGGGTGGTATTTCTTATATGTCATTAAACATATGTTAATAACTTTAAAAAATTAATTTTGTAACTTTTTTTAATGCAACCACCACTTCTACTTTTTTTCTTGCACTTTCCACCTGTGGAACTCCCTTCTGATTTCTTGTTTCTCTGATAACAACAATCTTCAACAATTTAAATTCAACATCGGTTGAGATAATTTGTCTTGAGTCCTGTTCCTTTTTGTCCTTTCCTCAATCCTCTCCATTCTTAGTCATCTTTTTATATTTTGCTCCCTGTAAACCCCTGCATTCTAGTGGCATTGAGGAGGGGATGATTAAAAAAAAAACCCCAAAAAACAACCTGTTCTTGATCTGATCAATCTATTTCCTATTGGTTAAAACAATAACAACAATTTCCTTTAAAATAAATGGACAATTTCCACTTTTGTGATGTGTAGCTATTGCTTTATTTTTTTATCAGAAAGAGAAATATCCAGATTTAATATTTACTGTTTTAAATCTCTCCACAGACTAATGATGCCCTGGTAGCATCCTTTCTTCGTCGAGTGGACAACCAGTGCCACATTGAAGTCAGTGCCCGCATATTGAAAAGTAAAGACAAAATTCCAGAACTGATAATTTTATATCAAAGCAAAGGATTACACTCAAAAGGTGAGGAAAAACAAAAATTCTAATTTTCTTGAAATTCATTAATTTGATACTTGCTTCTAGTATTTTTTATATAAGTTAGTTTTGGGCTTTTGTAGCCAATATCTTTTAGAGCTTTATTATAGAAATTAATATGTTCATAGAAAATCTTCTCCATTGCTGAATTTGTACTTATTCTTTTTTCGATAGATAAAGGTATATGCTTAATTTTAGATGGAGGATGATTTGATTTAGGGTGTATATATAAAGGATTGTTATTGGGTTTTTTATAAGGTATGTATACATTCTTCATTAAATCTAATGTTATATCAAGGAAGTTAACTTTTTTTAATTTAGTGCTAACTGTAATTTTTAAGTCCAGGTTTTTAAATTCTTTATATAATATCTTTCTAATTTTATTGATTTTAAAGTTAGTAGAGTTCTTTATAACCATAAGTCCATCATCTCTGTATAAACTAATGTCAGTTATATTAATTTCACGGTGTGCTGTAAGATTGTATAATATAAAAAGACCTATAAGATCAGAAGACTCAGCTGAGTCTAGTGATCCCATTGTGATGTCAAAGTGGTCATAAAATTTTTTTATCCATTGCTCACCTTTTATGTATCAGTACCGATTTTTTTTTTTTTTTTTTTTTTTTTTCATTTATAATAATGCTCTTTTCTTCTTCAGTAATATCCGTGTACTGGGTAGCAAAGTCCAACACATTCATGAACATTTCTTTAGATATTGATTAATAATAATTTTCAATATCAAACTGCATTAGTGTACAGTTCATTTTATCCTTTATATCAGCAAACCAGTTTGTCACATCTTTGGTATTGATCCAAAGTTTCAGGCCTATTTTTTCTTTAATTTGTTGATTTACCCTTTCAAGGATCTTTTTACTAATCTTATCTCAGGTCTTGTTGGTTTTATTATCCTTGTAGTTGGATTAGCTTTGAAATCTGGTTTGTGGTCCTTTAAGGTTATATAAGCATTCTCTTTCATTTAGTTGACCTACTCTATCACTAATCTTCAGTTTATCTGTGATTTTTTTTACTGCTAGTATTAATATTCTCTACCAATTTGAGGTAATTATATACATGTGTGTGTGTGTGTAAAAACATTGTCTCTTAGCTGATTGATGTTACCTTCAGCCTCCCAGCTCCAGAGTTTTGTAGATGGACCTGTCTGTGCACTCATTAGGGGTATTAACAATTTACTGCTTATATTTCACAATTTTGCTTTCTTATCATTGGGGCAGGTTTTTTTTACATAGTGTGTGCATGCACTTGTCTGTGCAGATGTACATTCACAAGCCCATTTGTGTATATGTGTATTGACCTATTCATCATTTTTTTTTCTTTCTACCTTATTATTAGATGGTCTGGTTTGTTGTCCTTGCGGCCTCCAAATCAGACATCACTATTCACTATCAGACATCACTATTCACTATTGTGTACAAAAAAAACAAGAAAATACATCCTCAGTATGGTTGTTCCTGGTGAGCATAATATCAAGGTCAAAGAAATTGACAAGCTTAAATACATCAATGCCTGAATTTAAGTTGCCAGAATGTGGGATATTTAAGCCACTATTGTCCCATTTATCTGTGGAGCATTGAGATCTATACCACCAAACTTAAAGTCTTCCTTCAAGAAAATTGGAATAAAGTTTTGAATTTCATTGCTTCAGAATTCTGCATTGCCTGGCACAGCAAACATTCAATAAAAAGTGTTATCTGTTTGATGCTATACAACTTGGTGAACCTCCGTAATACAAGATTTCTGGTTGAAAAGGAAAACCATGTAAAAGAAATAACAACAACAAATATATATTCCAATTGACACTCAAGAATACCACCACCTTTCCTTATTTATTGGTTTGACTAAGCACAATACCATTCAGGATTTTACCTCATTTCCATATCATATTATATCAAACAAGTTGGCCAAAGTTAGGTAAAAGGCATCAAAACTTTGGTAAATGTTTGAATTCATAAAACCTTTAAGAACCTTTAAGAAAGAATAAAAAGTCCATAAAGCTATTACACTGTCCATTATTGTGATACCAAATCTAGAGTCCTCTTTTAGTGCCACCTGTACCTCCTTCAATGTTTCTACCAGCAAAAACACAGAAGTCCTCAAGAGTGCTATTGTCTTTAGCATTGAGACAAGAGACAGGCCATATGCCAAAGATGTAAAAACTATTGTCTTCCACTGTTCAATGAAATGGCCTCCAGTTGATCCAACAGGAAAGAGACAGATTCCTAACAAAGAGCTCTCACCATTTTGTAAAATCCATCTCTATGGTAAATGAAGGTCACAGACAGGCTTCCATGTCATCTTCTAGCCAGCCATCTTTTCAGTAACCACAGTTATTTTACACATCAAAGGAAATTTTGAAGATGCATGAATGCTTAACTTTAAATTTCTGGCGTCTGGTGTACTTAGGAGCACAACCTTGCTGATTTCATTCAATGCTCTTTTCACACATTTAGACACATCAAATGCCAGAAATTGAAAGGTAATCTTCAGCATTTCTTTCAATGTATAACTGATACATTTTTATTCCCTTTCCCTTGATATAATTTCATCTGTGAAAACAATTTAGTCTGAAGAATTCCTTTTGAAGGATGAAACACATCACATAGGATTTTTTCCATTTTGTCAATTACCCACCAGTAGTCTGATAGTTTATATAAGATATTCTTTTTCTGTAGTTTTTATTTTTTTTTTTTTATCGTTTTCTGAGAATTAATTAAATTTTTAATGTGATGAACATTTTTTTTTTTTTCATTTAATATTTACTATTTATTTTTTAAATACAGCTTTGGGGTTGTTAATGAACCAAGCCACTCGACCATCGTCCACTCTTTATGGCCTAGAACGAATCATAGAATATCTTCAACATTTGGGTAAGGATTAATTTATCTATTACTATAAAGGTCAACTGCATTACCAAGGATATCAAATGATCATTGTAAAGCGCTGTTTCTTTTTCTTTTTTTCAATTATTATTCTCTTTTCTTCTCTACTTTTCTTTTTTGGGTATCATGTTTTTTTTTTTTGTTTTTCAATTTCTCTTTTTCTTTCTTTCCTTTTTTCTTTCTTTCCTTTTTTCTTTCTTTCCTTTTTTCTTTCTTTCCTTTTTTCTTTCTTTCCTTTTTTCTTTCTTTCCTTTTTTCTTTCTTTTTTTTTTTCTTTCTTTCCTTTTTTCTTTCTTTCCTTTTTTCTTTCTTTTTCTTTTTTTTTTCTTTCTCTTTTTCTCTCTCCTTTTTCTCTCTCTCCTTTTTCTCTCTCCTTTTTCTTTTTCTTTTCTTTTCTCTTTTTTTCTTTTTCTTTTCTTTTCTTTTCTTTCTTTTTTTTCTTTCTTTTTTTTTTTCTTTTTTTCTTTTCTCTTTTCTTTCTTTTCTTTTCTTTTCTTTTTTTTTTTCTTTCTTTTCTCTTTTTCTTTCTTTTCTTTTTCTTTCTTTTCTTTTTTTTTTTCTTTTCTCTTTTTTCTTTTCTTTCTTTTCTTTTCTCTTTTTCTTTCTTTCTTTTCTTTTCTCTTTCTTTCTTTCTTTTCTTTTCTTTCTTTCTTTTTCTTTCTTTCTTGTCTTATCTCTTTTCTTTTTCTTTCTTTTCTTTTCTTTCTTTCTTTTCTCTTTTCTTTCTTTCTTTCTTTTCTTTTCTCTTTTTTTTTTCTTTCTTTTCTTTTCTCTTTTTTCTTTTTCTTTCTTTTCTCTTTTTTTCTTTCTTTCTTTTCTTTTTTTTTTTCTTTCTTTCTTTCTTTTCTCTTTTCTTTCTTTCTTTCTTTTTTTTTTCTTTCTTTTTTCTTTTTCTTTCTTTCTTTTCTTTTCTCTTTTTCTTTCTTTCTTTTCTCTTTTTCTTTCTTTCTTTCTTTTCTCTTTTTCTTTCTTTCTTTCTTTTCTTTTCTCTTTTTCTTTCTTTCTTTCTTTTCTTTTCTCTTTTTCTTTCTTTCTTTCTTTTCTTTTCTCTTTTTCTTTCTTTCTTTTCTTTTCTCTTTTTCTTTCTTTCTTTTCTTTTCTCTTTTTCTTTCTTTCTTTTCTTTTCTCTTTTTCTTTCTTTCTTTTCTTTTCTCTTTTTCTTTTCTTTTCTCTTTTTCTTTTCTTTTCTCTTTTTCTTTTCTTTTCTCTTTTTCTTTTCTTTTCTCTTTTTCTTTCTTTTCTCTTTTTCTTTCTTTTCTCTTTTTCTTTCTTTTCTTTCTTTTCTTTTTTCTCTTTCTTTTCTTTTTTCTCTTTTTCTTTCTTTCTTTTCTCTTTTTCTTTCTTTCTTTCTTTTCTTTTCTCTTTTTCTTTCTTTTCTTTTCTCTTTTTCTTTCTTTCTTTCTTTTCTCTTTTTCTTTCTCTCTCTTTTTCTTTCTTTTTTTCTCTCTTTCTTTTTTTCTCTCTTTTTCTTCCTTTCTCTTTTTCTTTCTTTGTGACACATTAAATCCTCTTTATAGTTTAGTTTTTAAAATGATTTTAGTAAATTATCATTACAAAAAGTGATGATTAATGTTCTTGAGAGAGAGGACTCTGTATGAATCATGGACTATGTGAGGGGATGCTATGAAAGTAATGCCTCTTATTTATTTCTGCAAAACCTATAACACATAGAGGGCACATAGTGCAAACATTTGGATAAGGCAACTTTTCAATTACCAACCAGTATATTTTGCATATTGAACCAATACTGGCTATGCATTTTCATTGTTCTTCATTTTGTAGGTTGATAGGTAGCTTATCACACGTTACTCTGCCAAAACATATTACCCATTATTTCATTGTGCTTATATTCAATACTTGGTCTTCCTAAACATTTAGCAAGTGTTACTGAATGCAATTTTTCTGCATTGAGGAATTCAATGATACACCTCTGCTTTATGAGCATTTTAATGTCACGCTATTTTGCCAGGCTACCATCTGTAACGAAGTTACTGAGCAGTAAGGTTCAACCTGTACTGCTATACCTCTGACATCTGCCAATATAAGGTAGGTGGCATTTCTTTTGGAGTAATCCTTGTATGTAAAACTGTTCAATATAATTTACAAACTGAGAACTATATATATATATATATATATATATATATATATATATATATATATATATATATTTTTTTTTTTTTTAAACATTCAGATAAAAACCTTGTTTTGTGTTAATTTGGTTTTTCAAAAGCCCTACATGGGCTTATGGCCAAAGTTAAGCAACATTGAGCCTGGTTAGTACTTAGATGGGTGACTGCTTGAGAATATCAGATGCTGTATGCTTCAATGAGCAGGTGGTGTAATGGATAATGGCACAATAGTTAATTAGAAAGCAGAGTTCCAGTGAGGTTCATTACATTCACATACATGCAAATACCCTTCGGAAAGACATGAATCCAATTCTTCTACCCCCATCTATAGGTTAATTAGTAAGATTTTTATCACTAAATCATTATCTCCCTTCCCTCACTAAAAAAATTCTTACAATGTAAGAAATATTTTCTGGCTTTAAATAACCTGCAAAATGTTGATAAGCAGTAGAAAATGAATCAACAAGTCATTAGTATTGTAGTGAGCCTGATTTTCACCAAATTTCAGTGTAGTATGTTCTTGATTATCTGTACCATGATTTTCTGGATGTGAAATGAAGAGAAAAATTGAAATTATTGAATATTTTTCAATTATCTGAACTAAACTCTTCCTAATATTTCATCTCAGATTGAAGTTTTTGAGAATTCAGAACACCATAATCAATGTTTCATAAAATACTGAGAAAATCATCAACTTGTCTCATTAAAAATCATTATCCCCCTGCAAAATTCTTACAATCTAAAAATATTTTCTGGCTTTAAATAACCTGCAAAAGTTTGATAGACCATAAAAAACAATAAATCCCAAAAATTTCTGAAGAAGCTAAAATAAAAGCAAACTCTGTTAAATTCACAATCCTTTTCCTATTTATTGTTTGTTTAAGCATTCTGTCAGAATTAATCAATAATTTTCTCAATTTATCTTTTTAATATGCAATAAAAATTTCACTTCACTTTAAGTGATAATGATGTTGTTGTTTTCAATCTTTTATTTCAGGTCCAAACTATGTAAGCGTAATCTTTGAATATGCTGAAAATGTAATCCATAAAGATCCTATTGATGGACTTAGAGTGAGTCAAAATTCTAATTTTTCTATCTAATTTACCATCACTATTCAAAAACCATTTATTTTTCTAAGTATTTGAAATATATAATACATATATATATAAGTATTATCTGACATACTGCTATTAACGCATTGCTCTTCATCTGAATTGAATTGAGCTCTCTGGGCCACTGATGTATTTTGCATAGAAAACATTAAAATTTCCCTTCGTCTCTGCCATGTGATGATAGCCTAGGGGTAGAATTTCTGACTGATACCAAATCAGTTGGATTTCGATTCTGGCTTCAAGCAATTGGATGTCTAGTCACGCTGAAGAGCTGTGATACAGTGAAACAGCCTGTCTGTGAATGACAACATGAGATATATATATATATATATATATATATATATATATTTTTTTTTTAAAGACATGTTTATACATTCTTTTTATAGATACAAATATTTAAGTAAATGCTCTGTTTATAATAAAAAGTATTAAACAACATTTACTGGCCTGAATGTCCAAGAAAATTATCGTCCTCCGAAATACAGTAAATTTGACCTTGCTAACCGAATGCTCCTCTGGCCAAATCAGTAAAGCATGTCAAGCTAAATGACAGTTCCATATAGGATACAGGTTTGAATCCTGTCGGAGGATGAAAATTTTCTATGAAATTTTCTCGGACATTCATTTTGTCTCTTGGCCTGCACACTTGAGAAAGCTTATTAAAGAAATTCGAGCTTGCATTCCCCTTTGCATAAGAAACCACTGTCTGATCTGGTGTGCTTTAACCACTTGGCTACAAAGAGATTCACAATCAAGCAATGTTTTATTTGCCTTTAAAGCATATTCACTTGTTCAGATTTTCTTGAAAGGCATATTTGCTTATTTTGTATCCAAAATGTAAACAAAGCAATTTCTAAAGAATTAATGGATTTATTTTTTAATTTGACATATTTCTATTACTCCAGAAATTATTTTCAGTGGATACCTTTATTTGCTCTGTTTTTATTTTAAACAGTATTTATTTTGTCTTATTTGAACTCCACTAAAAGGAGGTGCTGACAAGTTCTTGACCCAACTTGATGTTTAGTAATCTTAGATTTTGTGATGTCTGTGATAAGAAATTTTTTTTTGTGTGTGTGTGTAATATATAAATAATTTACAAAATACCCACTAGCACACTAGAAAAGTGTATCATCATTGATGTTTTATAACCAGATCAGATACCCTTCATGGTTTGAATTTGAGTTAATTAGACTGATCCTCCTCCACCCTCCAACTGGATACCACTTCATACACCTCGATTTTCACTTTGGTAGCTTGATTGGTGGTTCAGAAATTTTATGTACTTTAGTGACATAACCACCAATCAATGACCCCGAGGCATTGATAGAGGACACCCTCTATTTATTTTGAGTTAAGAAGTTATCATTTTGATTTTGTTACTTGTTTTTTTATTTTATTTTTTATTTTTTTGAATAATCTGATGAATGTCTGGTGAATTATATTTTATATGTATTTGTTTGAAGAAAATTTTTATTTTCAGTTATATTTGCTAGCACTGAAATGAGTTGGGGAATGAAAAATGATGAAATAAAAAATTTTGGTTTATGACTATTATTTTCATATCCTTCTAGCCAGCCATCTAGACTTGTCCCATTCTTGTTGGCCCTCTAGGCTTTTGTCCCTCGCTTCTTGTTGGCCCTCTAGGCTTTTGTCCCTCGCTTCTCGTCGGCCCTCTAGGCTTTTGTCCCTCGCTTCTCGTCGGCCCCTAGGCTTTTTGTCCCTCGCTTCGTCGGCCCCTAGGCTTTTTGTTCCCTCGCTTCGTCGGCCCCCCTAGGCTTTTGTTCCCTCGCTTCATCGGCCCCCTAGGCTTTTGTTCCTCGCTTCTCGTCGCCCCCCCCCTAGGCTTTTGTTCCTCACTTCTCATCGCCCCCCCGGCTTTTGTTGCTCACTTCTCTTCAGCCCCCCCGGCTTTTTGTTTGCTCACTTCTCTTTCGGCCCCCCCCGGCTTTTTGTTGCTCACTTCTCTTCAGCCCCCCCGGCTTTTGTTGCTCACTTCTCATCGGCCCCTCCAGGCTTTTTGTTGCTCACTTCTCGTCCCCTCAGGCTTTTGTTGCTCACTTCTCGCCGGCCCCTCCAGGCTTTTGTTGCTCACTTCTCGTCGGCCCCTCCAGGCTTTTGTTTCTCACTTCTCGTCGCCCCCCCCTAAGCTTTTGTTTCTCACTTCTCGTCAGCCCCCCTAGGCTTTTCCCCTCTTCTCGTCAGCCCCTTGGCTTTTCCCCCTCTTCTCGTCCGGCCCCTAGGCTTTTCCCCCCTCTTCTCATCGGCCCCCTCTTCTCGTCGGCCCCCTAGGCTTTTCCCCCCTCTTCTCGTCGGCCCCCTAGGCTTTTCCCCCCTCTTCTCGTCGGCCCCCTAGGCTTCCCCCCTCTTCTCACCAACCTTCTTGGTTTTGTCAATATAACTCTGCTCACAGATTCCACTATGTGCTGATAGCATTTTTATTATCTGTCCTATGAGTTCTTGTTTAAATGCCATCTTAGTGTTCTCTATTCAATGTCAAGTCACTTATACAATTTATATCATAATTATTTGCAAGTTTTAATTATCACTTAGCTTTATTGTGATTAATTATTATTAAAGTATTGTCATTGGTATGTCACTATGGTCTATGGAAAAGGATGCATATGGGTAAAGAGAATGAGTAAGGAGTAGTTATTTGACTTGGATTCAGCTCCTGTGAAGAGATTTTTTTATACCTGTGTCAATTTATAGTTTATTAAAAATTACTTGGAGAGCCTGATTAGATTGGAAATTGCTTTATTTTCCAAGTGCAAGCATTTTAATTGCATTGTGTTATATTTCTTTATTATTCAGATATTATGGTAACAAACATAGAAATAGCATCATTACAAGTGTTGTTTATATCAAATACATATTATAGCAGTGTTATAAAATAAATGGTATTTGTTTCTTTCAGATTTTCACTGAAGATTTACCAGAAGTGGAATCATTACCTCGTGATAAAGTTCTTGAATTTTTGGATAAAAATTTTGACAGTAATGTGAAGATTCCTTATCTTGTAAGTATATATAAATAATATAATGTTTTGTTTAAACATTATTTTACGAATGGGTACTCATATTTGTGTAGATGCTATGTGTTTGAAAGCACTATTCAGGCTTTGTTTGATCAGGAGATCCTACATGGCAGAGTTGGACTAAGGCACATCAGATTTAATGATGGTTTCCCCTGGGGGATGCAGGTTCGAATCCTGCCAAAGGATGCATATTCAAGATTTCTTGAATATTCAGGCCAGTAGATGTAAATAAATAAATAAGAACAGAACATCTACCCAGATATGAGTATCCATTTATAAAATAATGCTAAAACAAATAAATTAAAAATTTGTTAGATTCAATCCATTTCCTAAATATATATATATATATATATATATATATATTTGAACAATGATTGATACTGCAAAATTTAATAATTGCATTAACTAGGACTGATGCCACCATCTTAATACTAAAAAGGAACCTTTTGGCCAATTCTTCATCAGGTAAAAATCATTGGCAAAAATTATCATTTTATTTATAACTTGAACGACTAAAACAATTTAAAGGGACTAAATGTGAGAATAAAACTGGTGCAACCTCTTAATTGCTGGTATTCCCAAGTCCACCCTAACCTGTGGTGGTAGCATCTATTAGGGTCCCAGCTATGGGTAAATAGTTAACCCACAAACTGTGGTCAAAACGTGTAAAAATAGGTTTTGATACCAACAAAACATTTTTTGTAAAAAATTTATTACCAGAAATAAATTTCTGAAAAAAAATTATTACCAGCAATACATTATTAACAGCAATATTTTTTTGGAAAATATATTACTAGCAATACATTTTTGTAAAAAAAAAAAAAATTACAAGCAATAAAAATCTTGTCAGCATTAAATAACCCATTGAGGTTGATATGCTGTAAACATATCAAACCAAACAACTTGTGCACAATTAAAATATGAAATAGTAAAAATCTAAGTATGTGAATCAATTCAATTTGTGAAGTTAAAATTAAATAAAATTAACAAACCTGACAAAGGCACTAAAAATTGGTGGGACAAAAAACAAAAAAAACAACAATGTTCTCCCAAAAGAAGAGAATAGACCAAGCTCTCCTTTTGTTGACAAAGTGTTTCCTTTCTCAACTTGATAGTGACAGCCTCAACAATCTTTAATAAATGATGAGATCATATTCTATGTACACTCTGAAACCAATTCTCTCTGTATTAGCCAGAAGAAGCAGGATATTTTAATCAATCCAATTTGTAAAGTTAAAAACGAATATATAGGATTAATGTGAGTAAAATTGTCACTTAGCTGATTGTTATTACTTTCAACATCTCATCTGCAGAATTTTGTACACATTCTCTTCAGGAGATAGGATTAATACAAAGTTCGTCACTTAGTTGATTGATGTTACCATCAGCATTCTGACTCCAGAGCTTTGTAAACAGACCTGTCTACTCTTCAGTGGGTATCAGCAATATATATTATTCTTTAAGTATTTTTTTTATTTAAAAAATCTCTTATAATTTATAGAACTAAAAAAAAAGTATTTATGAATGTTTTTTTTTTGTGTTTCCAAAAAAAATATTCATATATAGTTTTTAAATTTTATATTTATTTTTTTTTTTAAGTTTTTAATATTGTGAAATTATTGCTTGTTTTTTCAGTTAATGCAATGACAATGTTGTTTTTAATTTTTTTTTCTTTTTGTAGAAGTTTGAATGATAAAAAAAAATATCAACATAAGTTTTTTTTCTTCCTCCAGGAACATGTCATAACCCATTGGAATGAGACCAATACAGATTTCCACAACAGACTTGTCAATTTATACAGAGAAAAAGTCCACAAACTCAGGCCAGAATATATCAGTAGTCTTCCTGAATGTGAGTTGACCTTTTCTGTTCCATATCAAGTGATTGATACATCACTGACCAAAGACAAAAAAAATCAATGTTTAAATACCTTGCCACTCTCAGAATGTCAAAATTATTTATGACTATAATATTTTATTTACATATCTACAGACATATGACATGATGTTTCTTACACTTCCTATAATGTGTTCTTTTATGTACTGTGTTCAGGATATGGGCAAAATCATGGCTCTTCACAGCTTCCTGTTTGTTATAGTTCTAAGTTTGTCCTTTTTAGGTTTTGCCATTCACTTAAAAACTTGTTAGGTAGGTTACTCGTTACTCTCTGAAAACTGTTGCCTGGAGTCTGACCTGTGAGTGCCATATTTACCAAGCCTTCTTTGCTCATGTAGTCTAGAAATTTCTTTCTGATTCTTAGTAACTCTTTTGTTTCCATTTTCCTTAAAACTTCCTTGTTGTTACCAAGTTTTATCCATGGTATTCACAGCATTCTCCTGTAGAACCACATCTTTGTTGCTTCAAGTCTCCATCTGTAAGGAAATTGTCCAGCATTCACTGCTATAGGAAGATGGACATCACATAGCCATTCAGTACTCTTTGTTTCTAAGGAAACTTTCTGATGTCTTAATACTTTTAACTTCTCGAAGATATCTTTTGTTATGTCTTTGAATTTCTGTTGTATTTGCCATCATACTGTCACTACACAAAAAACAATACCCTGTCTGGCAGCAAAAGCTGCTGGTGGTGCCAGGGGTGGCAGTACCACCTTAGCCACCAAAACTGTTGGCTAGCAGTTGATGAGGGCAGGGTATCGCATATGCTTTCACACGTATGTGGAAAACAAAAAAAAAGGTGAATTAGTTTACAAATTAAACTAGTAATCTGATCTACAATTTTTTTATTTTTTGTCGTATTAAACAACAATGTACAATGACACCTTTTTTTTTTTCTTTCTCAGCGGAAATCCCCAAAAAAGCTGGTGAGGAACCTGGGGAATTAGGCATATATCGAAAGAAACTCATTAAATTCTTGGAAACGTCACAGAATTACACCCCTGAAAGGTTGTTATCGTATTTTCCACTTGATGGTAAGTAAAAAAAAAAAAAAAATTTAGTGATAAAGATATCAGAAGGAGTAGTTAACTGTTTTCTGCATATATCGATGCTAAGACAATCTTACTATCAATTTCATCATAGTTCACTCATTTGGTTATCTTTGTTTCATTTTACACAAAGCTGCAAATCCTTCAGCATGGTTTTATGATTTTCATTGTAAGTGTTTCAACTATGATATCAAACGAGGAATGACTTGAACCATGGAGCACATATATACACGCAAACACACGCATCCATGCATGCATACATACATGCATATATATATTTTAGTTCTATTAAACAACATTTTTTAGAAAAACACAGCCATATACATAATATTAGACAGATATTAGTTGATAACACAATAATACTCACACATACACACAGTAAAAAGAACCTTCAGATATTGGAGGCCATCTTCATTAAAACAAAGCAAACCACACTCAACAAAATTCCGTTTCAAAGTAGTCACAACACATTACATTGCATCTAGACATTGGTTCTGTTGTAATACTTCAGTCTATCGCATGCTATGATGTCATAGAACTGCATCTTGAACTTACAATCTTTGTCTACTATTCTGTGACCGTTATCGTTGCATAGCAATTTTCTATGTCAACATAACAAAATATTATCTTTGACGGTGGATATTTTTGTTTAATGTCTGTATAACCACTCTGAGGATGGCTCATGTGAGCTGAAAGCTTAGGATCAACTTAATAAAAATATATCCAAATGTTGGACAATTTTTGTCTTTATCTTCACCTGAAATTAAAGCAAACATTTGAACATTAGAATGGCTCATGATTAGACATAATAGACATTCATTTTTGTTATATTTAATAATATATATATATTATTTTATTTCCTTAAAAATAGCTTTGTTTGGATACAAAACTAAATAGATATGAAAATTTTGAGTCTGACAAGAGATTTGGCTTAAAGGCACTATTCAGCATTGCTTTTTCGTGACCGAGTCGGTTAAAGCACATCAGATCTAACAAGAGTTCACACTGACCAGGGGGATGTGTGTTCGGATCCTGCCAGAGAGTGCATACTTTTCTTTAATGAGATTTCTAGAGTATTTGGGGTGGTAGATGATAATAAATATAGTATTTAATAAATAAATGGAGCGTCTACTTAAATATGACTATCCACTAAAAATAACTTTTAAGTGAAAAATCTGTTGGATTAATAAATAAAAAAAAAATCCATTACTTCCTTCTATGATGAGAGGGATTGGCTTAAAGGCACTATTCAGCCTTGCTTGATTGGTAGAGGTTATTCGTGGCTTAGTCGGCTAAAGCACATCAGATCTAACGACGGTTGCCTCTGCCCAGGAGGATGATGCAGGTTTGAATACTTCCAGAGAGCACATATTTTTCTTTAATAAGATTTCTCAAACGTTCAGACTGATAAACAATAATAAATAAAAATACTGTTTAATAAATACAGTATCTACTAAAAAACTGAGTATACAGTAAAAATAACATTTAAAGTAATATATATATATATATATATATATATATATATATATATATATATATATATGATGGCTGTTGATTAATTGAGTATCATGACTATAAGTTAAGAGAACTACTGCATTGTCAAATTACACTGTTACTAATGTTATACTAAATCATACATGGGCATCATAAAAATTCATTTATCTGATTCAACTTGTATACGAAAGAAATTACTATTTACAAATTTAAGTGTTATACTATAAAATTAAGAATTAATATGAATTATGTTGGAGAGTAAAAAATTTGAATGAAATCTATAAAATCAGTGAAATATATACAAGTGACTTACGTAAAATATGTCATGTAAAATAATTTTAAAACCCAGCAAAAATATTTACACTTTTTTCTGCAAATATGATGCAAAATCTTTTGTTTTGATTGATTATAGGATTTTACATTGATATTGTGAGATTTTCAATCCAGACCTATTTCTAGCAACTTTATTACAAGTTGGATAAAATCTATAGAAATTAGTGGTTTAGTCAGGTGGAAGTCTTAATGTAACAATACATTTAATAAGGATATTTAAACCTGGAAACGTTACATTGTTTAATTCAGTTTACTTCAGCTTTTTTTTTTTTTTTTGGTGTTAAAATTGAAACATTATGCTACCAAATTAGAAATAAATATGAATTGTAGTACAAAGTTAAAAAAAAAAAAAAAAAAAAAATGAATAAAATACATAAAATCAGTTAAATATTTACAAGTAATCTTATAAATTGTGTGATCTAAAATGATGCTTAAGACTATTGCTTGATTCAGAAGTATGAATGCAAGTCATTATTTAAAGAAGTAAAATGGTACAAAGGAAAATATTAAAAATTGATAATTTTTTTTTTCACTGAAGCAGACGTTAAAATCACGAGAGCATTATCATCTCCTGTCTTCTTTTTCTCACTGAAACCAAACCACATCTCTGCAAAATGGAATACCTTTATTTATAATATATTGGCATGACTATTAATTAAGGAATGAAAAAACAAGCAATATTATACTATGATGTATGAAAATTTAAAAAATTTTGTTTGTGTGTCATTAAGGACTTAGATTTACCATTAGAAGTGATTGACATGCCGTCAGACTTTTGAAAAATTTTTACTGACTTCTGATGTGAGCTCAAGACTTGTTTCAGTGCTTGTCTTTATTTCTAGTTACTGTTCAAATAGCCATAGTGTGTTCAGTTTGCGAATGAATTAAGACTATTAAAACTGTTGATGCTTACCAACTTTTTATTTTCTAGATTTTTATGAGGAGCGGGCTATCCTTCTCGGTCGACTTGGACGGCATGAACAAGCATTAGCGATTTATGTCCACGTTTTGGATGACCAGCGTTCAGCAGAAGAGTATGTATTTAAAAAAAAAAAAAAAAATGATTTCTTTTGAGATTTTAACTGAATTTTTTTGTTAAAATAGTTGCTTTAAGAGATATGCTTATTCTGAATCCTGGGTAATTATCCCCCTTGGATTGGGACTTTTTATTTCAGTTTTTTTTTTTTGGTTCAAATTAAAAAAAAAATTTTTTTTTTTTTTGTAATGATTGTAAAGTCATAACTAAATGTTATTCAGATAGAAAATAATTTTTTTCTTTGGATTAATCACTGTAACTGTTTAGAATATATTATAACAAAAGAAACGAGGATGTTCAGCAATTCAAGATAATCTTGGTCCCAAGGAAAGTAAATATAATTCTGAGCATTTTTTTTTTTTTACACTCTTTTCCCTCTACCCATTTCTCACTCTCACCTCTATTTCACACTCTTCGCCCTTCATTGTTCATCGACCTCAGATATTCACTTCTCTCCATTTCTTGCTCTTTTTCTCTCTCTCCCCCATTTCTCCTCTTTTTCCTCTCTCCACCCCCCCCAGGTTTCTCTCTCTTTTTCTCTCTCCCCCTCTTTCTCCCATTTCTCTTTCTCTCTCTTTTTCTCTCTCTCTCTCTCCTGCCCCCGTTTCTCTCTCTTTTTCTCTCCACCCCCCCATTTCTCTCTTTTCTCTCTCTCCTGCCCCGTTTCTCTTTTCTCTCTCCCCCCCCTGTTCTCTCTTTTCTCTCTCTTTTTCTCTCTTTTTCTCTCTCCCAGGTTTCTCTCTTTTTTCTCTCTCCCTGCCCCAGGTTTCTCTCTTTTTCTCTCTCCTGCCCCCTCTCTCTTTTCTCTCTCCTTTCTCTCTCTTTTCTCTCCCCCTGGTTTCTTTCTCTCTCTGCCTCTCTCCTGCCCATTTTCTCTCTCTCCCCCCAGGTTTCTCTCTCTTTTCTCTCTCCTCCCCCAGGTTTCTCTCTCTTTTTCTCTCTCCTCCCCCAGGTTTCTCTCTCTTTTTCTCTCTCCTCCCCCAGGTTCTTTTTCTCTCCCCCCCATTTTTTTCTCTCCTCCCCAGGTTTCTCTCTCTTTTTTCTCTCCTCCCCAGGTTTCTCTCTCTTTTTTTTTTCTCCCTCCCCCAGGTTTCTCTCTCTTTTTTCTCTCTCCCCCCATTTCTCTCTCTTTTCTCTCCCCCCCAGGTTTCTCTCTTTTTTTTCTCCCCTCCCCAGGTTTCTCTCTTTTTTTTCTCCCTCCCCCATTTCTCTCTCTTTTCCCAGGTTTCTCTCCTCCCCATTTTTTTTCCCTCCCCCCCATTTCTCTCTCTTTTTTCTCTCCCCCCCCCTGTTTCTCTCTCTTTTTTTTCCCCCTCCCCCAGGTCTCTCTTTTTTTTCTCCTCCCCAGTTTTCCCTTTCTTGCTCTTTTTCCCCCCTTCCCCGTTTCCCTGCAGATGACACAAGGAAAACTACTGTAAGTACTGTTACACAATGTAGTCAAATAAAGTCAAGAAGAGATGTCTATTGTAAGAAGATGGATGGTGACCAACAAAAAGGACAACTCGATACGCGAGAAACTTTGAGGATGTCAACATTAATCAAATGCAAAAATTCCACTATTCTGTGGGTAGATTGTTCTCATTCCGCTTTCCTTGTCTATGGATAGCTTCTCTAGTTCTTCTTTGTCCTGCTCAGTTATTGCTTGCTCTGTTTTCACTGAATCTAAGTCTGTACTATCCAGACCAGGAATTGAACTCACAATTAATATGAAATACAAATTCAATCTATCCCCTTTAAATTAGATTTCAGTTTGAAATTCTCTGAAAGTTTATCCATATTAACAGACCCTTGAATAATGCCAGCAGATATAACAACTGAAATGTGATAACACCAAAAATGGTGGCTAATAAGTTCTATCTTCTTGATCTCTTCCTATGAAAATCCTACATTTTGAGTATATTTCATTAAAAGGTGATGTTTCCTTATTTTTGTTGAAGAAGTTTGAATACATTATTTTAACCTCTGAAGTGTATTGTAAGTATATCTGCTAAAAGGTATTGATTCATTTAGTTTTGATTCTATAAACAGGGACTACATTTTGGACTTTGTTAAAAAGTAATGTTCTTTATTGTTTAAAATCAAACGTCTTTTAACCCTTAGGAGATGACGGGGTTGATCTATTGTCTGAAAAGTCAAATGACGACAACTGGGACAATCCATTGGCCTGCTAATACAAGTCTTGATATTAGCTGGTTGGTCTTTAGCCAATCAGATTGTTTCTTGCACATCTTGCACGTCTGGGCCTTTCAATGGTAGCTTCTGTGATAGTTTGCTGTGTTCTGTGATTTTTACATGTTTTTTTTTTGTGTACCAAGTGAGGCCTTGTGAAAGGGCTCCATCTTCTTGGCATTGAAATGCCAAATGAGGCTCTGTCCCCAAAGGGTTAAGTAATAATGATATTTTACTTTTAAATCATTAACAGTAAAAACTATCCAAAGAAAGAAAACATGAAATAAAAGAAATTAAAAAAAAAAATGTATTAAGAGCCTGATCTTCTCCCATAAGATGTTCCTTTGGTAACCTGAAGCATATTTACTTATATTCACCATCATCTCTTGTGATAATGAAATATCTCATTACTAAGAATGGGAAAAGGCTTAGTGATCATTAAATATATGAAGCCATATTATTTAAATTTATAGTCATTATGTCTTCATTTTATTGTTGTTATCACAACGTTTTGGCTCTTGTGCCTCGTTTAGGTCTATATCAATATGGGTAGACTACAGGAAATTCTGAACCCTTTATTAAATCTATGGGAGCAGATAGTTTTCGATCCACTGCCATTATATAGGGATATCTCAACTAGTTTTGATTTTTATTTAGTACTGTTCATTAATTACTTGCCTGTTTCCACTAAGTGAAAGTACACACTGCCCAACCCAGGGATTGAACTTAACCCCTATGTCACCAAATTCACAAACTAATACTTTTATGCACTAGGCCATATTAGGTTAACCAGATTGATATACACCTGAGGAAGGCTGGAGGGTACAACGGCCAAAACGTTACAACATCAACAAAGATAAAGACAATAGTCAGAATATAAATAGTGTAAATAATGATTATTCTTTACACCCAGAAATTCAGACAACAATTATGAAGTCATATTGTTTTACATGATAGAATTGATAATTTGAAAATGAAGAGTTTTTCATTGTCAGACTCAATATTCTTTGGTGGTTGTTATTATTATTGATTGTGATTTTTGTTTTACAGATATTGTATTAGCCATTATGATGACGATAAAGAAGGGAGCAAAGATGTAAGTATAACATTTGTTGCTTTTCATAACATCTTTAAATAAACCCAAGCAAAATTCTCTAACTAAAATATAAAAATCCTTTACAATCCAATATTTATCTTTAACTCCTGTAGACAATTGGTATATACTAAACAATTCCTGCTGGATTGCAAAAGAGGGATTGATTATATATATATATATATATATATATATATATATATATATATATATATAAAATTTCTCAGAGTTAACCTGTAGAAAAAAACAATATTTATAAATGTAAAAGTCCACATCAGATGAAACGTGTCTGCAATTATTACAGTTTTCCTATTGTCTTTTACATTTATAAATAATATATATATATATATATATATATATATATATATAAATAAATTATGGGCACATGGTCAAGTGCTTAGAACATTCACTTTCTGACCATGATGCCCAGGTTCAAATCTAACCATGTTTGATTTGTCAGAAAGGAGACTTCCTGATATTATCAGTCTGGAGGGGGAGAATCCCAGCAAGCGGCACCTTTGGAAAGTGCCTGAAAACAATACCACGGGTTGACCCAAGCCTTGTGAGTGAAATTGGGTAGATGGAACACTTGGGGAACCGTTGATAGCTGTGCTAGCACAAGTCATTGTGACCGAGGGTTTGAGTGTTTTGGCCTTGTTGAGATTGTTGGTCATGCTAGATAACACACTCTCTCCCAGAAACTGTAACTAAGGTTTCTTCAGCAGAGTTGCAGTATAAACTCTGTGGGTGTTGAACAAACACAAATGTGCCTGAGCAAGCGTCTGAATTAGGGATTGGCTAGCCGCCTTAGTAGATGGGTATCCTCAAATACGAGTAGCCAGCTATTTTATATATATATATATATATATATATATATATATATATCTCATAAAGAAACAATTTATACAAAGAATTAATTAGCAATATTCATGTGATTGATGGCAAAATCACTAAGCATTAACTTACTATCAATTCCTTGAATAATAAGATCCTTATATTTGAGTTGTTATGATGTTGTTAGAAGTGACATGCCAAGTACTTTTGACAATTTCAAATTGTCATCTTCAGGGCAAATACTAAGATGAATATGTGTAGACCGAAAGATGTTTTTTTAAATTATGCTATTTTTTTGACAGTTAAATATATGTTTTGGAGCATGTGATGTCACAACACTATAGTTCTTGTTTAAAGCAATTAAGTGAGAATTTTTTTGAATTTTGAAAAGTGATATATCCACAAAATTTTCTTATGTATTTATCAGTTAAAATGACATGGACTTAAGTATAATCCAATTAGTAGAGTAAAATGCACACTTATATATATATATATATATATATATATATATATATATATATATATATATATACACACACAAGTTTCATTAAAGAAAACTGACAAGGTACTGTAATTAAGTTTTTTTATTTAATTTTTCTTGTTTTCATATAAGAGTTTTCTTTTTCTGGAGTGTGTAAAAATTGTCCAAATGTTCTATACATCAAAGCACATTCAGCTATTCTATTAGCCATTATCAAGGATGTTCTTTTGTTTTTAAGTGAATGTGTAGATTTTTATGTTTCAAGAGTGATGAGAAATATATATATCATTCACAGACAGTACTGTTTTGCTGTATCACAGCTCTTCAGTGTGACTAGACAATCGAATGCCTCAAGCCTGGATTGAAACCCAACCAATTTGGTGTCAGTCAGAGTGTGTATATATATATATATATATATAGGAAATTGTATGAGAAAGTGGAAAATGTTTATTTGTGATGTGTTTCATCCTTCAGGACTTCATCGATTAAATTTAACAAATTTAGTCAGATGAAGTCTTGAAGAACAAAACGCATTACAAGTATGCTTTTGCAACGTCATACAATTGCTGCAATACTGTTTTTGATGTATAAAAATATATATCATTATATATCAGTGTGTGTGTACGCGCATATATATATATATATATATATATATATAAATATCCTGGGTATTGATGATACATACGTTTGTGTCCTAGGTCAAGATGATTTCCAACTTATGTCCAATAGCAAGTCCTCTGATCAGGAGGTTTTGAGGAGCATGAAACCATCTCTTAATTGCTTGTGTTCCCAGGTCCACCCTGAACTGGGGTCAAAACACTATGAAAGTGTAATAAAGGTTTTAATACCAGCAATGACTTTTTGAAGAAAATTTATTACCAGTAATACATTTAAAAAAAAAAAAATTACCAGCAATATGTTTTTGAAAAGAAAAATATTACTATCAATAAAAATCTTGTTGGCATTAGATAACCCATTGATGTTGATATGCCGCAAAACAAACCATATATATATATATATATATATATATATATATAAAAAACAAAATGACAATAAAATAAGTAAAATAAATTAACCTAAACAAATTACCAAATCACACCTGTTAGAATAGATGAAATAGAATAAATAAATAAAAAACAAAATCAATGAACCCAAATAAATAAAGTAAATAATAAACAAATTAACAAACTATTATGACCAAAATATTAGACTATAAAAATCAAACCAAAAATCAGATGAAAAACATCGCAATAACTGTTATACCACAATAAAAAAAAATGCTATGTTACTTAAAAACTGAAAAGAGTAAATAAAAATATACAGTATAATAAATAAATAATAAAAAACAAGTAAAATAAATTAATCTAAATTCATCCAAATAAATAAATAAACTAACAAACCAGTCCCGATAAATTAACCATTAGAAAAAACAAATAAAGATAATCAATCCAAATAAATACATGAAGTAATAAACAAATTAAAAACTGCTAGTTAGAATAAACTACAGCAATCAATCCCAAAATTGAATAAATAGCTTTATCTTCCCAAGACAAAATTATTAAATAAGCGATATAAACAAATTTTTACTACATTAATACAAAACTCTGAGTAATATAAAAATAAATATATAAAATAAGAAATAAAAAATAAAAACAAGCAAAATAATTTAATCCAAATAAACAAATAAACAACAAAATAGACTACCCACAATGCACCACTGACCTGTAGATATAAAGAGTCGAGCAAAATAACAGTACTTGTGGCCTGACGATTGCGTCTAGCATGAAACAGATTGTCACCTCTAAGTGTTGACTTCTATGTTCACTTTTATATTTATACACACTCTATCTCTGATATTGAGCTCTTTATCCCATAAATATAGCACAACTTAAGACTATATTTCTTCATATATAATATAATATATATATATATATATATATAGATAGATAATAGGTTAATTTAATAAAACAAGGACAAGCAAAAGGGTACCAATATGATAAACATTTATTAAATATTAATTATTAACCATGTGACAGAAATGAATCATGGAGAGAAAGGTTTTAAGTTTGAAATTTTCAGACATGCTTGTGTCTTTCATCGACAAACTGAGGAATAAACAGAGAAATGGGAATTACTTACTGTTTTTGTAGATGGTGTATATTATTCTGGTGGAAATTGTATTGTTAGCAAAAACCTGATCTTTCTCTGATTCCTTGATGTGCAAAACACACACACACACACATATATATATATATATATATATATATATATAAGGTATGTTATATTTATGGGTAAAAGTGTTCAATATCAGGCATAGTGTATGTAAATATAAAAGTGGACACAGGTCAACACTAAGTGGTGACAGTCTGTTTCCTGCTTTTCAGGCCATAATGTATTAGCCATTATGCTGATGATAATGAAGGAAGCAAAGATATAAGTATAAAATTGTTGCTTTTCATAACTTCTTGAAGTGGCCTGAAGATTGTGATCAAGCATGAAACACTGGTACCACTTAATGTTAACCTCAGTGTCCAGTTGTCTATTAATTATCTGAGAAATTCTTTTCTGCCTTCTCTCAGCATGGCTGATGCCAACTTCCAGGAGTGTGATTCATTATGTCTCCTTGGGCTAATATTCTCTGCTAGCATGAAGTGGAAAGATTATATTGAATTGATTCTGCTGCTAGGAAAGTTGGTTAGTGTCATACCAGGCAATTTTTCTTTCCAGAATCTCTCTTAAATATTTATACATCTACTATCAGTCTATGCTCCGAATATTGTTGCCGTGCATAATCTGGTGCTCCTCTCTTTATATTTAGAGATTATTGATAAAATCTAAAGAATCTGCAATGTTATTAGTCCTGACATCTCGGTTTCAGTCACTTTCCCCACTTCTGTAGCATAGCTTCTCTGCCTTTTTCTTATAAATAAATTGATGGTAATTGCTCTGATGAACTTCCCTCTATGGTACCTAGACTTTATGAATTTAAGCACAGTACTAGATTGGCAGCAAGATCTCATCATTTTTGAATTGGCTAGAGGTAATTGTGTTTTGTATGCTAACAGTTTCTTTTCTCTAACTTCTCAAGTGTGGAACCCTCTTCCAGCTTCTTGCTTTTGAGTCAAACTTGATCTTCAAAAATTTAAATGCAATGTCAATTGTTATCTTCTGTTTTCTTAATTTTTGTCCTTTTATTGTTCTTGCTCCTTAATGTTTTTGTTTTTCTTATTCTTTTACACTCAGTAACCCCTTGTGTCTTTGTGGCTTTATTCCCTTGCTTGGGATGAAATGATTAAGAAAACATAAAACTCAAAATATATTTTGATTTTTTAATGTTTTTCATTATTTGACATATTAATGACTATTTTTCATTTGAAAAGGCTTGCTGTTGTCATAAAAAAGGATGGCATATTTAATTTTATTTTTGTTTTAAAATAATTTTACTATTATTTTTATAAATCTAAAGTTAATAATTCTATTTTTATGAAGTTAATACTTTTTCTTTATTTTTTCTTTAACAATGTCTGCAAAATATTTATGCCATTAAAAATTCATTTAAACTTAAAAATATTTCATCCCTAGAAAGAACTTCATATGAATAATGTTTTTTTGATAAACTATATTTAGCTATTTGTGTGTGTGCGTATATATATATATATATATATAATGTATGTGTGTACTGTATACT